CTATAAAGAAAGTACCTGTAAAAGTCTATTGTCCACAAGGGACATGCTGGAGGCACGTCTAATAAATATAAGGTAGGCCGAAATCCTTTTGTGAAATCTGTGCGAAGTATGACGACGTCATTCATGTTCTCGAAAGTTGTATGAATTCCAATGACAAGGGGGTGAATGTGTAAGAGATGTGTCTACAAGGTATTAAAATAGGCGAGTTCTATAAATTCATGCAAGAGAGAATCTGATTTCATTATTTATTATATCTGCTATCATATGATTATAAGCAATTTATTTAATACATAAGGTAATTTAAGAATATAACGTAAGAATCTAATGATGGATATGCTGATGGTATTAGACACCCAGGAAATGGCAAAGACTTAACCAATATAATGTATGCTTCTGTTCTTTAATGTGCAATCCATAGAACTTTTTGTATAAATCTCCAGTTTGAAGAAGGTACTGATTCACTCCTTTACCACGAGTAGAGGAGGTGTACACTTAATGCGCAGCTGGATTGTTGATTGCACAAGCGATGAAATCACAATATAACAATGCTACCTAACACTCATGTCCAGGTTTACCAGCCGCGGCAGATATGCTATTCAATACAGAATGGAACATTTTTGTGCCGCCGTACATAAAGCAAACATATTTCTTAAGAACAATAAGAAATATTGCTGAGGTGTAAAAGTGTGCATTGCGTCCAGGCGTCACACTTTTAACATGTGAAGGGCATCCCTTCATGCAGGGGTTTGACAAAGAAATATTAGGTTTTTTTTGCGTTCACTTTACTACTGCATAAGTGGGGACTGCGCTACCGCTTCCCTATCCCAATGATGACACGCTGCTCGGTATTAATACTCACGTGATTTTCGATGATGTTGATTCGCCAAAGCCTTCGAGCAGTGGAGTAGCTTGTAGGTAGAGTCACCAAAACGCGAGCTTTACCTATGAGGTTTTGAAGAAATAGAGCGACATCAGGGAATTCATGAAATTGCTGCCAAGGGTCTTTTCTCGAAGGATGATTGTTCCAATCTTGATGAATTCCCTGGACCTCGACGAGGATCTTTTAGGCCAGGGAAGCTTTTTGGTTCAGCTCGATGGAATGGGCGTTTCCTTAGCTATCGGCTTAGCTCTACCCACCTTCTTTGCATTCTCTTACTCCTATATATTGGATGTTATGTCTGGCGCAAACCGATAATTAGCAACCAAAATGAAGTTTGTGGTGAACGTATGCATATCAGCAGAGTCGTCCTTGCAGCGTCTGAGTTGTACAAAGTCGGCCGGGCTGGCCCAAGCACGATAAAATGCCATCAAGGACGTTTTAGACATATTCTTTACACATATATGTTTTAGGACTATATTAAAGCTATATGGTCTACCACAAGGCCATTGACACTGACCTCTCAGGTTTACCAAATGAAATTGAGAAGCAGCTTTTTTTTTATAGTCCATTGTTAAAAGACTCAAAAAAGAACTATAGTAAACAATGTAGTAGCACGAAAATTCAATGCATGCACCCGGTACCGAAGTAGCCAAAAGACCTTAAAAAGGGCGTTGCGCGCTGTCACACCACGTTGCACTATTCACTATTGTAACCTCAATCCCGGAAAGAAATCTCGGAAGCTTAGAAATATCTAAGATATTGTCTAATAATTATAAGAACATCGACCTGAGCGTTACCATTTTCCGTTCTGCCTTCCATCAAGATATTCATCTTACAGGCTGCATCTAGCCAGCAGGTACAAAAAGTAATTCTAATATTTGGTTGTACGTAAAGTCAAAAACTATGGTTATCTCGGATGAAAGAACATCACTAATAAGACACTAATAAAACTACTTTCACGGGAAGAATATGCAGATTATTAGTATTGAGGTAATCAACTTTTCCAAAAATCAAAAAGCATTTATTTTTACACGTGGACTGGGCGTGGGGGTACGCCTGGTGCGAACAAAACCGAAGATGTACTTCTCCATATTCTAGAAAATGTGTCTCCTGAGGGAGCAAAGCACTTCTGCTTACTTAGCGATATATGTCTTAATCAACACAAATATTACCTCATACCTCAAATGCCATTTGGCTTCCCTGAGAAGTAGGCATCTCCGACCTTTTACCATATGGAGCTATTCATATTGGCTAGTAGGTATAGTAGTCGGCAGAGCTAAAGATAAGTTACAAAAATTTGTGACCAATGTTCTCCCACAGAAGTGTTTCGAAGTACGTCAAGATCAAGAATTACAGTAGCGATTGGCAGATCTTTGACTTACTCAGTTTTCCCTAAGATGGTTAAAAAACTAAGCGGATATTCTTGTATCACTGATGACCGAAAAGTCTATTTGAATATTTAGATATGAAACGGATAAAGGTGATCTTAATGGTGAGTTTACCGAAACACCTGTACGTGAAAGAGTTTTACACCCTCATCTCATCATTCTTATCGCCGTAAGGCAAGACAAACTTGAAAGCAAAGCCACTGCAGCAAAATTGTGTTTCATGAGTGTCATGTTGACCACCTATTACACTAGTGAAACCGGAATGGCCCACAAGGCCTTATTGAATTATTGAAAAAGACTACTGATTGAATCCTTAATAAGTATGGCTCTTTTTGTCATTCAAATCAAATACGCTGGCAATCATTTAAGAATGATGAGAAATGTAAAATTAATATGTTGACATTTTTAACACAAGAAGAACATTTTTAGAAAGCTTTGGCCCTTCTTTATCAAGACACGTTATATATACGTACAATGTTCAGAACGTTACCCAACCGAACTAAATAATTTCAAAAGTACACTTCCACTTTATTTATTTTCCTTCTTTGCTCTCTAGATGTACTTTCACATAGTGATGTTCTTCAAAATGAAAAAGAAAGGCAAATGATATTCAAAAATATATTTTAGAGGACGCTGAGTATTAGCTGCAACTGCACCGTCCTTAACTAACGGAACCCTAATTAAGAGATCCATATAGAATTTACCTCATGTCTGCTATACTTTGAAAGCTATTCATATTTCTTATGTGTATATTATTTAGACATATACCACATGACAAGTGTGGGTAAAGAGCAACACATCAACTTGAACACTAATTTCGCCGATTATTGATCACCATAAATTGCTGCTACTTCCAATAGTACCAGGTTAGCGAAATTAATTTTGTAAGCGTGTTTTTGCCTTGATATAAATTTTGATGATAAACGTTTCGTTCTACCGCAATGTTCCAAAAATAATGGGCTTTAGTAAAATATAATAGATCTCATATATACTTGTAGGGACAATCCTTAGGTTCAGAAATACTATTGAGAAAAATGGTCGGGTTAGATCTTACATCAATAAGTGTAACAACAGTGTAATGCCTGGCACTCTACTGGCACTGGTAACTCTATGATAGGTATACACCATTTGTGGTTTTGGTTACTAGTCAAGAAAATCTCCTTACAAGATGCAAATACCATCTGTGAGGCAACTGGGAGCAGTACTGCCCAGATATCCCTTTTTAACGCACTAGCGTATACGCCTACTCAGTACTTGGCTGTAGAAGCCTATGCTGTGCCTTATTATCGGCAAAAAGGCCTAACAATGTGTCCATGTTTGATAAAAACTTCACTTGAAGGTGAAAAGGTTCAGTGGATCATATATAATGAAATTTTAGACTGTCGAGAACATCAGCTATTCATAGAAAATAATTAGGCAAATAAATCTATGAGTTCTATTTATAACATAAAAGTCCTAGGTAAAGTTAGGAAAGTAATATAATACACTAAGCATAATTATAAATGCGCATATACTTTTGTAATCGAATCAATCGTATGGGTGGCTTAGTCATAGAACATGTTAGAGAGGGGGCCTCTCGGAGAAACAGCAATACATAATAACCAGGATTCATGTGGCTTGAATTGAGTTTAAAATACGGCGAGAATTCTGGCAGTAATAGAATGGGTCTTCATTTTTTCAAGCGCTTTATTTAGTGGCAGTGAAAAGTTGCGTTTTGCCCAGGTTCCTCTACAAAAATGCTGGCCAAAAAAAAGCCAAGTAGAAAATATCAGTCATAGTAGGAACACAAAATTCAAGGAATATACGAGCATAACTAAAGACTTAAATGCACTATGAAAACGCAAATGTAATTTTTTTAAGGTAAGCATACATTATTGTTATGAAAGGTTTTCTAAGTAAATCCCTGACATCGAGTTAAAGCATTTAGTGGTATCACAGGTGGTACGCCCAACCCTCCAACGAATAACACACAAATTAGCACCGAGTTTAGTGGCAGTCATGCTAACTTGCGATTATATTTAATAGGCGGATATATTAATTAATATAAACAACAACTAATAAATACCCATGATTGCTAGAGCAGAAAGTAGTGCATGTACAAGAAAATTATGCTGAAAATGAAATTGGGACGTCACAAAAACGATAGTCAAAAAAATGAAGCCAACCGCGTATATGTACCACCTATAAAATTCTTAGCCGGTTTTTTTGCTGCCTAGGCACGCTTTTCAAGTACGTGGCTTTAATAGCCAGCTCAATCAACTAATACGGGCAAGCTATGGCCTCACAATCGATTAGACTATAGTTATTGGGTTGATTTGAATGTATCTTCACTTGCATAGTCACATGCCTATCACATTTAAAATAATAGTAAAGCGGTTACGAAAAAATTAGGAAAATTCGTATGGCCGACTTAAAATATTATTATTTTTTTACTAACATAGATTTTATAATATATTATTAATATATTATAAAATCTATGTTAGTAAAAAAATTATTGTAAAATCTGTGTTAGTAATAACGGTCAGTAGCCTAGTGTGATAGATCGTTATCGAGATAATTCCAAAGAGAATGTATGGCGAATTAGGGGATAATTTTCCTCTGGTTAAGTAAATGCTTAGATGCATTTAAAAATGTCACCAGACATTTGTTGGATTTAACTATTTAGGTTACCTAGGAGAACCCAGAGCCACGTACATTTTAGTACGTGTTATAAATCGCGGAACCTAACTTACGTGGATTTATCGGATACAGCCGTATTCAAGTTTTCCCCGTCAACTTTGAAGTCGAGGTCAACCGCCATTGGAGTAAAAGTACAAGTTTCACCACTAGTGTCCTCTATTTCTTTAAAAGATGAACGCAACGAGGGTCTTCGACTGGGAGGCGGAAGTGGAATTGCCGTAGGTTTTGGTGATTCATCTATTTTCTTCCCCATCAATAACGCGTATTCCGATCGTGCATCCTTACCTGCAAAATAGATTGAAGTATTCGTTAAGCTCTTACACGGTGTTTAAGTGATTCTGGTACAAAAATAGCAGCGTTCCTTGTGGCCTTACATAGTAAAGAAAACTAATGTCAAGAGTTTTTTGAGGCATTTTTTTTCTAACAAAAGATTCTTGAAATATTTCGACTTTTCGACTGAAGAAATATCCGAGTTCTAAAATGAACTACAAGAAATAATATTACGCAGTAATCTACTGGAGATGAGATGTTCCTTTAGTTTGCATAAGCTTAATAAGTTCATGGTTTGCTCGAACAAATATTTTACGCGCGAATTAAATGGCATTAAAGCTTTTAAGAAAAGATTTTCCATTTCTACTAATCATAACATAATCGGCAGAAAATATGTTTATTGGACTACATGCCATATTGCCCCGCTGTGCCTCTTTCATCGAAGTATGCACCGATATTTATCATCTAGTCATTATGATGCCTCAGTTCCATTTTTCCAGATTTTCTATATTAAAGATCACAGTAACTCACGATATTAAACTTGTTTAGCGAAACTGCGTTAAAAATTACAAACGGTTATTGGGTACGGGAAGCTTCTATTTATTCTGCCCATCATTAAGTCTCATTAGAGCCAATGTTTCTACATATTTATGTATTCATTTATATTTGGTGCTGGCCGTACAATTTAAGGTGCTCAAAGTGCTCAAAGTTAGAAACATTTGCGCCACGCAGTGGTCACTGAGAAAAAAGCAACAACGTGCGACATCACAAGCATTGCGCCAACGAAATATGAAGATTCGAACTATATACATTTTGAGTACGTAAACCTCTACTGAATGGTTTAAATTTGTACGCTAAATCGCTCGTATTTGTTGACTGCTCCATATTATAGATTAACGCTAAATAACGATTCGTTCTCACAACGTTTATCAAGATATCTTCTGTGACAAAAAATACGTGCAAAAATTTTTTGTAAGAATGCTTGAAAATGGCTTATGCAGTCAGCTTTGCTATAGCCAAAACTGGCTGCATAAACTTGAGCCAAACACAGACTAGGTTTACGCAAGGGTTGAGGTTCTTCTGTTACTACGAAATGTATTTGTTTAGCCTGAACAGTAACAAACAGTTTTAAAAGTTCAAAAACTTCATATTATTACTGTTGCTCAATTCCCATACCATCATCTTTAGAGCAAATTAATTCAATTGACGACGACGGCGTTTCGGACCTTGACGAAGCTTCACTCTCCTTAACACGGAATCTTAAATTTACTTCTTCCGTGTCTCGTGAACTCAGCGATTCGGGAGACGCTCCACGAACGACACTATTCTTTCGACCCGCGTTATTTTTCTCGTTTACCTAAAGGCAAACATGATGATTACTTAAGTTATTATCGCTATAGACATGACAGATTAAAATAACTTCGTGTACTTTATACACAGACATATAACAAGACCCAGAAATCGTAGTCACGCGTCATCATATATCAGCCAATAATGAAAGATCATACACGAATGTACAGTCTGGCCGATATACACATGCCAGCTGGGCGTGAACGAGTATGTCGTCCTCTTGTAACCCGGTCTAGTGTGAAGATGCCCACAAGAAGTATATTAGTACGTTTAAAAAAGCCTTTTGACAGCTAAAGAGTTTTCATTCCATAAAGTAGGAGAAGATACGCAAATTATTATATAAAAAAGCGGATTTATCTGTCCGATACATTTGTAAGAAGGACATATTGATGCCGGTTCTGTATTATATATATACAGACTTATATTACTATGCATCAGTTTTACCGACTATTTTATGAATGCGGTGTTTTAGACTGCGAATTGTTTTCGGCGATGCTTGACACACACTGTCTTCCTCATATCTCCTCATGAAATTTCGAAGCGAATCAAACATTAGGGCTGAGGCGTACACGTGGTATCACAACTACTCCATCCGATTAGTCCGGTTAGAAACGTGGTTGCAAACAAATTGATTATTTTACGCTCGCTGTGTTGCCTTATCTTGTTAAAACCAAGAGTCATTGATACCCAATGCCTTTATACTGGTCCACTGTTTGAAACATGTGCGGTTCGTTATTCATTACTGTTGCCGTTCTGTCGCGATATCCCAAGGTAACAAACCCCCTTCACACCTTCGTTTCCTCGTTTAAGTGAAGTCGTTGGTCGACAGTTGCCCTAGCATTCTGTGAGCCGCAAATGCAAAATTTTGCTTATTCACATACCATGAAAATTACATAGAAGATTAAGTGATCAAAGAAGTCGCTGGCATGTACTCTGTTATTTAATATGCGGTCGATGGATAATTGACACGTATGATAGTCCTGGAACTGTAATTGTTGAATCAACTACATCCTCTAGAGATGAAAATGCAATTCGCTTCAAACTCCGTACCACAATGTGTTTCCACAGGCCCAGATGTTAACGAATGTGTTACGAACCTTGCGTTAAGATCGTTGGGTAGGCGTGTATATCGTTGTCCCTGTGTTAAAGCTTTTTTGTTCGGTCCTACGAGTGAGCCTGTCTCCGCAAATTTTTTGATCAATTGCATCATTATTATTTTCATCAACCCATCCGTATCCTGTGCAATATGTCAGGAATGACTGTATGATATATTACATATGTATATATAGAATCGTCTACGCCGAGTTGCTGAGAATCAGTACAAGCGTAAACGAGGTGGTCGTCTAAACTGCAAAGCTAAATTCCGTAGTGAACTCTTTGACAGAGTAAGAAAGACGTTTTGTTGCCGCCGAAACTACCATTTCTTCGAATTACATTACTTAAAAAATTGCTAAGAACAATTAAAAAAACTGTGCAGCAGATTTCGAAACGTTTTCATACTGGCTTCAGCATACATTCACAGGCTAAGGAGGTGGCTACTAGGTGTGGACATCGTTTTTTGCGCTGCATTCTTTACTATTAATCGAATGAGGTTGATCTTGATTTTACGTTATTGAATTATCGTGACTTAAGTACTGTGACCCTTAACCGAGATGAATGTACCACCCAGCTTTGTATGAGACGATGCCGGACGGCTAACGACAGTCGCTCATTCATTAGTGCACTACGTAACAGCATTCTTTGAGAAAACCGCACTTAATTGAGAATTTAGCTATAAAATGACGCTCCTGTTTAACAGATAAACAAAAGAAGAACTGCTTGGTCTACCGACAATTCTTGATTTGTGCCGACTAATTATGAAAGCCTTCGATGTCTGGGTGCTAATTCATCCAGAAGTGGCTGACTCTAATCTAGTCCGGGATGTCAGTCAATCGATCAAGCACATACAGAGTACCGGCTTAACATGGCGACTACACGCAAAAGGCTTGCTGCTTCTTGGGGCAACACCCAGTCCCAGCTTCTCGAAGGACCGTTTCGGAACGGTTACTTTATGAAGCAAGTTGTGTATCGCTGAATCCAGGTTCCGCCATGTCCAAATGTTGTGCCGAACCATCAAGACGGAAGGCCTATCTGTTCCCCAACACTGAAGCGTCACAATCTGTTTTACAGCCTTTCTTACCTCAGGCCATCCATACGTAACCACTATTTAACGCTTATACACCCTTGTTCATTCTATTCTAACTATATATGATCATAAATTTCCTATTTAGATTAGCTGCTTCAACTCTGCTGCCTTTCTAACTTCAAATACGCGTGTGGGCGACTTGCTGGACATGGCTGTCGCGCATACCTCCACGCGCAGATTGACTAGTCTTTTAAACTTTGATGCACGTACTGCTGACGAGCCAGCAACAGAGCCGACGAGGGCTAATGTGATCTTTAAAGTCGAACATTGCTGGTCACTAGCAAATGTGTATGATCTCACAAAAGCTCGATAACTCGAGCAGTCTAATTTCTAAAGGAGAGACTCCCCTAGCTATTCGTGATAGGCCCTGTGAACTTCGTTGAAAATTTGGGTTAAGTTGAAAAATGGCTCTCCGCTGTAACCAGTGACTAAGGCTTGGATTCTCATTTCTCACAAATTCGTGCTCCTTTTTAGCTGATCTGCCTGCTTAATTCTTTGGAGTCGTGACTAAAAAGTTTTTACTTCCCATTAATTTAAGTGATCGCTCAACGCTCAAAATTAGGAAGACCTTTTTATTGCTACACCCTTTTACTGCTATACGAATCTATGTCTAATAGGTTATCTTTATTTATTCTATAAGTAAAGATAACCTATTAGATATATATACCTATATTATTATTCTATAAGTTTAATATACATTCATAAAGATTCAGTTTACCAAAAAAATCAAACACTATTGTTGATTAGCCTACGTATGTTAGAAGGCAACTCCGTCATCGATGTTGTGATGTGGACCAGAATAGAATCAACCTTCTAGGCAGAAATAAGTCGCTTAGCTTGGGAGTATATCTTTCTTATCTTTCCGTAACCGTCAATTTCAAGCTTTTATCGACAGGAGCATAAAGCTTCTTCAGAGACTCCACCATTTAGTCATTCGGCAAAGGTGCTTCTACAAGTTTTGCCGATGCCGACTTCAACCAACCGGAACGATGTGTGGCATTTGATTAAAATTCCTTATTCTCATAAAAAAACGAATATATTTACCCAGCCTGACTGTTACCAGCACTATCCGGCTAGTCCCATCCGTCTCTAACTGCTATGAATTTGTTTTCCTTGAGAATAATTTTGCTAGCAACATTCCTTACAAAGTCTCTCTGAACCTCTAAACATACCTTTTCTTCGTCGAAGTGATTTGGTGCTGAATCCCTCCTTCCTTTATGAGATACATTGGGGCTATCAGGCAATCTTTCTTCGTTAATTGAAGTTGCTAGACGTTTTTGACTTTCAGTATTTGCAGCACACCCCTTATCAGCGCGATCTTTTTCGGAAGGCTGAAGCATGAAAAAAATTAAGTCTATTATTTCTTTTGGAAATATTACATCTTGATACTATACATAAAAGGTGAAGCCGATTTTTCTAGTATACACAATTAGGTGTATTGTGTTAACCAGCTAAGAAAGGAAACAACGTGTTATGGTGTTCATGATTGCGTTGGCGAAATGAGTTTGTTGATTAATGCCCGCTTTAACGTCAGCTCACAGTTGTATCGCATTACCGCTTTCCACGCTGCGCACAATCATATTAATTCAGCCGCTAAACAAAATGGTTTTAAAAATTTTTACCAGACATAGTCAGTTTTGCCTTATCTATTTTTCTTTTCGTATATATATTTTTATATATAGAGGGCACAAGTTGTTTTCTCTATGTTTTTCCTTCTCAGCGGTTAAACGATGAGAAATAGACGGCACTAATGATATGAAAAAAAACAATGTGTATATGTTCTATATAGATTAAATTGTAAAGGACTAAGTGAAAAAATATTATAATGTTAAAACAACAGACACACGATTGCAACCAGATTGTAAAACACAGCTTATAAGGGACTGGAAAGTAACCTGGTGAACGAGAGATGAGAGCTAAGTACGTTGGAAATTCTTTTTAGAAATAATAGATTAGAAATAAAGAGATAACCAGCCAAAATACGGCTGTATATGACGACACGGCTCGGCTTTGTGCGTATTCTGACCCAATTATGATTTAATGCGCAGTAATTGCAAGACTTGAATAACTATATCACAAAGCAACATAGGCGGTCAGCTCAATTTTTTTGCAGAAAACTTCTCGATTTCATCTACCAATAATGATAGATGTACTAGACTACAAAAAGATGTATTAGACTACAAAAATTTTTCTTCCTATGTTTTAGCTCCTTATGAACCTGCGCGAGTCATCATCTATTGAGTTATGCCATTTATGATACATGATGTTTAGTGAAGAAACAAAGATATCATAATGAATCGAATAATAGACACTTGATCAAACAAACGTCTCTAAACAGCTTATTAACAATATAACACAGCAATACCGTCAAACATATACGGATGTCTTTTTAGATGTGGCTTCCATAAAATTTTGTCGGTTCCTAACCAACGGCCTATTTTATATATAATCTATGTACAGGCTCTTTCAAAACTCAGGGTCAGTTCTTATCGGGCTAACAGTGCCTGATTAATGAGACTACTTTCTAGTCCTTCCACCTTTCTCTGCGACCACAGCTGCAATTTACGTTTGGCATGCTCTGAATGTACTTCCGGATGTTTCCGTCACAGCCAGGTCGTGGGTCCATAACTGGAACATTGTGTTCTTGATTTCTGAGTTGTTCATGATGTCCTTTCAGAGTCTGACCCACCCTCTGATATACTGTCACATGTTTTTCGCCCGATTCAAATCGAGTGAACTTCCGGGCTATGGCAAAACTTCAGCATTGTTAGCAGTAAACATACCTGAGTCACATTCTTCTATGACACAATGACTTGTCATACATGAATACATATTGTACCCGGCAACTATCTGAGATAGTATTTTCGTCTGAATCGCCTCACTGTGTTGTCATTTTTCCATAATCGCGTTCACGAAACGTAGAGCTCTCACATCGCAAATGGGAATTATGCCACTGCTTTCTAATTCTAAAGTTGGCCCCTTCAAAACATACTCTTATGCACAATTCACAAAAGTTTTTTGGCTGATTTACGACATCTAAAGCCGTACGGTGTCAGGGGATCCTTATGCACAGTGACTTCGCGCTTTGCCACTCCTTTTTCCTTGCTGTCTTTTGCACCATTTTTGATTTTGCTCTCTTTTTCTTAAAGCTTTTCGAGCTGTACTGTTAAGTATACATTTTGATATTTAGATTATATTTTTTATATTTGATACTTATTATAAATTTCCCTTCGTGATCACTTTTCTTCTATTGGCCTGGCTATTAGAGTTCATTGCTTTCGTAAGGTTCTTTCATAATCCCACTACGAGTTCGTTATGTAATCACAAAACCACCGAAATGGCTGAAATTTTTTAAAAATATTCAGCACAACAACGTCATTGTCCGCGTACAGACGAGAGGGTAACTTAGTTGCTATACATCTTGAAACATATCTCTTCCTGCAACGGAAACGGAGATCCGAAATATGCGTAATGGCTCGAATATTCATACATGATCTAATAAACAGACATTGCACCACACGTATCAGTAAAAGCCTTCTATTTCACAGCAGTTTAAAACTACTTTTCTAGCGCGCGCAACCACTTAAAGGTAGAGGAAGGCAGCTTTTACATGAAATTTACCGTACGCGAATATTTATTTATGGTGTGCATCAAATAAGACACTGTGTGGCATTCTAAGTGGCTTTACTTAATTGGCTTATATTAGGTTAGAACTGCAGTAATTTATTTTATAAATCTAATAAAACGCACCCTTTATTCAAATTCTCGCTAGAAATAATTGTATTATATTCTCGCCCAATTCTCTCCTATCTCTCAACCAACTTATGTCCTTTTCGCCAGAAATCTTTAGGCTTGGTGCTGAGGAACTTGCCCAGCCAGGTTTCAAGACCCTCTTCACTGTCTCATTTACGTTATTACTCCTTTCGCCAGTCATCGCAAAAAGGTGAGAATCCATCGGAACGAAATCTGGGGAATATTGTGAGTGTAAGAGAGGCTCACTCTGGTGGCTAGCCACGTTCACCCGGTGCAGCTGGCTATATATAGGAGCTTCTTGTTTTACCAAACATGGCTTCGTATATAAACCTTTCGGGTCACACCAAATCATGGCCTTTTTGGAATAAAGATCTGACATAACTCTGACCTTAAGTATATTTTCTGGAGCTACCCACTTCTTCCTTTACTTAACAATGACATGGATATATACCGGTGGCAAATTTGCGCAGAAACCTGTCATTGTGACCGAGCATTGCTCGGTGTGATAAAATGTTGAGAAGCAATTATAAGACGTATTCCTTTATGGTGTTCACTTAGTTTTGGAGGCATGCCTGCTTCTAGCTTTTGAATAAATCCTATAGATATTATGTACCTGTCAATGGTTCTATGACTGCAGTTCAGTCTAATTCACAAACTCTTTGCCGGCCGTTCTCTCTTAAAAGTGCTTTTAATCAGTCTTTAGCAACCTTAAGTGGCCGACTGGGGAAAAGTGTATCGTCCAGTCCCAGAACGGCTTTCTTGAGCTTTGCAAACCAGTTTCCCAGAGTCCTCTCTGTACACGCTACAAATATTCGGCGCTGCTTCGGCCGCTGTTTAGCCTCGACGAAAGGCGAAATAGAATAGTATTGCTTTTTTTTTTTCTACCTGTAAACCCCACTTTTAGAACCTGCAGTCGACGTAATATTCTGTCCAATGAAATTACAGTGACCTTACCGGAGAGTATAAATAATTTTCGAGGAGAGAGATGGGTAAATAAACAAAGGTAGGAAAGATTTGGATTTATACTTAACTACATTCTTCATATATATGTGACGTATTTCAGCTCAGTTAAAACTTCCTAACGAGAAATACCAGACTGCAATAAAGGCTTTTCATATTTGTTCTTTTCGCACCTGTGAACCAAAAAACAGCTTATAACACAAAGTCGATTAAAAATGCCTTATAAATTCGACTTTATTTTGCATCTCAAGTAGAAGAAGTGAAGAGCCTACTGTTTGCTCTAAACCTCATAATCTCGGACTTGGCTTTGTTAATACATCTTCTATAATTCGATTCATAATGAGTTAATGTTGACGATGCTTACTGCAGGTGAAAGCGGTGTCTGTACGGTGTACATGATAATGTCGTTATTGGAATTACAGCAAACCTCATTTATCTCACATTATGGTAATTATTTTAAATTTCTAAAACGTACGTTATCTTGTTAAAAAGACATGATTGGCGTATCGCCTCTAGGCCACAATTACTTGTATATATTGTACACATATATGACAGTCGCTGTCATAGAAGAGTGAAGCACCAGGGAAATACTCTACAACAAGAGTAGTTAAGTACACAAGCAGTTTTAGAACTAAGCTTACCTGTTCGGCTGAAAGTTTTTGGTGAAGATAGTCCTGAGTGTTGCCTTCCATGATATGATATAATGTATATTGCCCAGGCGGTGATATCAGATTTAGAGGAGAGATATTGCACCTGGGTGGAGGACTCGAATCAGAACATCCGCTTTCTGGTGCTCCGTGAATACCTGATATCAGCACTTGCGACGTCTTTTTTATATTTAACTCCTCTAGATTTGGTGTATGCACATCCTGGAGAAATTGACATTCAAGTGACAGATCAAAAATGCAATCAAACTTATATTCGTTTTAAAATGCAAGCTATCCAAAGAAATTTTCAGAAGGTTTAGTTTGAAGAAAAGAAGAACATCGATATCGACGTTTAAATAAACGTTGCTCTTTGACTATTTGCATCTCACTGTAGCCAGAAAATATGTCCCAGTTCCATACAACCGTGCCGAATACCTAGATGTGAATGTCATTGTTTGTAAACCAAATTTACACATTACGCTTTTAAAAAAATTAAGAACCAGCCGTTTGGGAGCCAGCCGTTCGAAACAGTTTTTTGCGCCAATACCGGATATAAGACTCGAAACATTTAAGCTTGCTCACTATAATTGTAAATTTCTGCATTCACCAAAGCATGTAGCTCTCTCGTGATTGTTTTTACTGACATGTGCGAAATCTTGAATAAGCTTGATACTATATAAACACACAAAACCACATACACAGCAGTGATATAGCAGAGAGCGTTTCAGGCCTACCACCTTTGCAGAAATGGTACTAATTTTAAAACTCAAGATCGCAGTGCCTTTATCTGGACACCTGACATTTTTCCTATTAAGATTTAATCCCCAAAACAGTATATCACATAATCCGTGTAAGCTTTCCTTTTTCAATTCTAAGTTATATGCTCTTGGGTACAATTTCGACTTCCAAGTTGCTATGCTCGCAATTGCTGTAGCATTTTTCATCAGCCGAGCGAAAGAAAGATGTATTTTAAAGTATTCTAAAGCCGACACGGCGTACCGACTCAGAAAATTGGGACACACACAAAAAGCCTCGAGTAAGTTAATTCTAATTACGACAAGCCAGCGTACCCAGTGAGCTGGCAACGTTTGGTACATCAATTACCTCAAACGAATCAGGTTCAACTGGATGCCGCAATTTCAAACGTTTGCACTTGAACCTTCTATCTGCCCGACTAAGGTGATTTTACTGGCTAAAATTAGGTACGTAAAGCAAGCAAGCTTTTGTCATCCGTTAAGACATGGTAAAGAATATTTTTCTACGTGGTTCAAGGGGACACATCGACAAGTCCTGATGAATCAACGGTCAAAACAAAAAAAAAAACAAAAAGATTTCGAAATTATTTCTACGTTTTGGGGGTCTTTGGGTCTCTATAGTCTAATTCTCAAGGCGTCAAATTCAGTCAGTTTAGAGGCATGCTTTACAGTAATGTACACAATTTTTGGGTAGGATACAAACACGGTCTTTGCTTTAATCGCTCAGTTATTGCAATTAACTGAACATTGCTCAATTATACAATATTCCACCGATTATATTCCACCATTGGCCCATTCTCCGTAAAGGTATATTAAATTACACGGAGTGTTGCAAGGGTGACAAACTTGAATAGGTTTTAAACTACGTACCATTAGCGCACAAAATTGCGTAAATGTATGCATAAAAATATGGCTATCTACAACTATGAACTGACTGAGTATCATTCGAGAATAATGGGTATAAATATAAAGATGTCGTTCACCCCAAAAACTACGCTCGGTCATTGAGTTTCTTACGAGAGCGTTAGCAGATTTTATTGAAGGGCTGTAAAGACACCGGGCGTGGAAACCTTAAGTGAAATAGCAGTCTGTTACTGGTGTAACTGGATCGGGGAACTGAAAGCCACGGAACTTGTATTTGCACTTCAAAACATCAACAAAAACAACGATGAGCTACTTGTCTTTGGCTAACCTAGAGGCGGTTTTTGCTTATAATAGTTGCGCAAGTTATATTTAGGGTATACTAGGCGTGTTTTCATCTATCCGAGGCTCAATTCTTGAGAAATCCATTTTTACGTTTTCTTCAGAACTCGATACCAGGTTGACTTCTTTGGCAGCTACATGGGCTTAAGGCTCTAAAATTATAAGCACAGATAGTGAGATTGAATACCTTTTATGTATTTTAATTGCAACAGCGTTTGTCCCTTTTTGAAAGAAGACTTTATGATAATTAGGTCGGGAAACTTCTAAAAAACTGATACATTCTGTTTATCTACCCTGTCAGGCATAGAGAATTTAGCACCGAAACAGCCACGTTTCATTATTACGTTGAAGCTAGAAACTAACATACAATTTATTTAACTTCATTAAATCCTCTTAATATCTCCTAAAGCTATTGAAGTCATAAAACATATCAAACGAGAAATAGTAGTCAAGCTTTGGCACTACCAACCCTTTGGAATCGTCGTACGTCCACGTTAGGATTTCGCATTGATGGAAGGTAGCAAGAATAATGATTTACGAATTCTGTTACGTTATCGCCATGATGATCAATTTGTCTTTGAATAATCTCTCTATGTAAATCATCTCGCAAGTTGTTGGCAATTTCACTGAGTTGCATCTCCTTTTCTGCCTCGGCGATTCGTCGAGTGCGTAGGGTGCGCGGGCTGAGAACCATTGGAACAACTTCGTGTTCGATCGGATCGTTCCTGCGAGCAGGTAACGGATATGATCCTCTAGATAAATGAGTATTTAGCGGAGCAAGCTGGAAACACAAATACATACGTTATATATATATATATATTATAGACCCATTATATATATATATATATATATAATGGGTCAAATGTTAAGATAGGAAATTAGCTACGTAAGCGAAGAGCGAGTCACTCTGAGACATTTCTGCGAGTTAACAATAACACGTGACCAGCCCGTTAATTTTGGTGACAAAGGTGAATGACTGGCGGTGTGGTAAGTTATTGCTTATGTAATTGCGAATGGCCCCCAAGTAAAATTCCACTAGGAGAATCCCTAGTGATGGACTGTGGAGTATAAGTAGCTTGCGAAGGAATGAAAACTTGAAGGAATGAATGATTTTGGGACGTGCACGAACATATATGCAAAAGTGGCCCGGACTTTGGATTTCAAAATCGGTACAGGGGAGACATAAGGTAGCTTTTAAATAAATCCATACAAACGCGTTCCTTTAAAAGAGGCTGGCTCGTTTAAATGTTTCGTATTGTTACAGAGGACTGTCGTTCAGCGAGTCTCTAATTAATAAGCTAAATGTGAACTTCCAGTTTAAAGTTTTTTTGGTAGCACTTGAAGAATCGCAAGATCGGCACATTTCGTTCTTTTTCATGACGACTGGCTAACTCGTTAAGCTGAATTAGTCTACGTAGTTCAAGATTACACACCAGAAAGATCGGGCACCTGCTGAAGGGAGCGTATTTAGAAAACGTGCTGTTTCAGCGTTAAGCCCCTTCCTGCTTGGTAACAGGAGTGCAGCTCGTACTATCGTCCCGTTATCTCGATTACCACAAACCTGTACAACGATGTGAACATCGCAGCGTATTAACTAAGGATCTATCGATTGGCAACAGTAATTAGTGAAATGCGAAAGTAGAATTCTTTTTGTTTAGGCAAAGATTCCTCTACCGTCCTAACAACTCGTGGTTCAACGGGCAGCCGAGGCCATAATTTTTTTTTAACTGATACAGGGTGAATCAAGTGTAGAGAAAACTGTCCGTCGCTTAATAGCATATTATATTCTAAACAGAAATATTTAAGCTGTGCACCGGTGCAGCTTGCGGAAAAAAATCACAATACATGAAAGTATGCACTCCGACGACAATCCAAATGAGTAGAAGGTCTATTGGGTAGGGCGAACGGCCAAAATGAATATGAGTACTATCATGACAAAGGATGTACTTCAAAGCGACGGGAGGTTTGGTTGTGGTGACCTATTACGGCGGACTTGTAACATGCACCCTCCTCCCCGGTGTCGAAGGACCGTGCTTACGCCGCCCGCTGGTCGATTTTGAAAGAATCAAATCCCGCTCCACATACATGCGATAAAATCACGTAATAGCCTAAATTGTGTAATGCAGAGTTAAAACCATTAAATGGTAGCAAATACCAACCACTGTATGAAGATACCTCACCGGGTATGCGTGGCAAAATTTTAGTGAATCAAATATTATAACGTGAATTCGTGAGTAAATTAACCTCTACCGCTATAAAGCAACCGTTCCTCCGGACCAATGACAAAGCTAAACGAGTGTTCTTCCATATATATTATGCTGTTGAAAAAAAAGTATTAGCCATTATCAAACCAAAATTGAAGTGAACAATTTTTGTATTCTAAAATAATAAACTAAATATGCGTAATTTTGATTTGTTGTCATTTTTTTCCAAGACCATAATCCCACCACACTGCAACATCTGTGCTTTCTGGATGAAAAATTTTCACAAGCGATTCTTGCGTTCTTCCATTAAAGGTTTTACAGAGATCGAAATAACTGATAGCCTGGTGATGAAAGATCAAGTGCTATAGACCTGATTCATCAAAACACAAGTACTTTCAATTTTTGTAGTAGCTATAGATGTATACGGTCTAGTATTTTAACGGTGAATGGCGACTCCTTCTCTATTCGCTAGCTTCGGATTTTTTCAATGACTTGTAATTTTGTTAGTTGTTGACAGTAAAAATTAGAAGCAATCGTTTTACCAGGCAGCAGGAACTCATCATGTACGATACCTTTCTATTCCTTCTAAACATGCTGCATCATCTTTGCGTCAGTCTGGGCTTGGCCACAGATTGTAAAACACATTTTTTACTTTTTTTTTTCATTTTCATATCATTATTGTGCACAATCCACTTTTTAGCACCCATACTGCTTTAAAAATGGGTCGATCTTGTTGCGCTTGTCTGGATTGTAATTATTTTTTGTGTCGATTTGGGTGGCACCCGAGATTTGTATCCACGTGTGTCCAAATGCTTTATAACTGGTGATAAACTGGTGACGTTCCTTGATAAAATCGTGGCAACTGATGTCTCAGTCTTATTTAACTTTCGTGATAATTTCATCAGCTTTTTCTACCTGTGGTCCAATACTACAAGAGGCATCCTTCACATCAAAATTTCCAGGACGACAGCGAAAAAATCATCTTTAGGCTACTTTCGATTACGTCTCTTGATTATAAACAGCACATGGGCCTAGGCAACATGTGCTTTATCGTACTGAGATTGTAAAACATAGCATAGAACACAAACATAGAATTTTCGGAGATATTTTAGTTATTATCGACGCGCTTTATTTAAAGTTTGGATAAAATCATTCCAGCAATCCTAGGATATCAACTATTCAAAAATCGGCTTTTGAATAACAGCAGTGCCAATAGACGTGACCTATATTATCTGAAATATGTTACTTTAAAGCCTATAAAACCATATATATATATATATAAACTATAAAAGTAATATTTTTGACATACAGATATGTACATAGTAGAGCATTTCAAGTGAAGACACACTTTGGGTGGCTGGCTGTCGTATGTGCTTGTGTTCATCCACTATTTCAGTACAAGAAAAAAATCTTGAACAAGGCAACAAACTGTTACCCAGCCTCTTCGTGCTGGACGAACTCCACAGAAATTAAAAACTTTTTCACGAAATCACCGACCTACGCTATTGCTAGCTTGATGTGGTTTGTACACAATCCGAGGATGATCTGCGTATGACAAGTCCTCCTCGCAATGATCTTAAGCGAAGTTTTGATTCAGAAAGCTCGAGATTTTTTTATATTATCTTTTGAGAGATTTTTATATAAAAATTAACTGCCGTTTTAGAATGGAGAATATTAATTATTGATTGAGCCGTCGAAATATGCTACCACAGTTAGTCTTTTTGATACTTCCGCATTTTTTGAAATCTATGGCTATTTTGAGAGTTTGAATTTTGTCCAGCTTATTTAAAATTCTAAATTTGATTCCCTTGGAATCTTTTATATGTAGCGTACTTGCTATAAATATCGTTCGATGCACGGTTACTACAAAAAGGTATTAGCCAGTTACTGAAAAACAAACACCCCAACAATATTGCCTCTTGAGCAGTGGCAGAATAATATCGCGTAGCATAAAGAGGTATCACCTCTTGTAACAACTATATGAGAAAATACAGGGTCAATCACCCTTTTATACATTGACCTTAGGCTGATCCAGTTTTTGTTCTAACATTAAGTAGGCATCTTCTGCGACATAATAACTATGCGACACTTGAGGGTCTGCACCCAGAGTTTCAAACTTGTTGCATATTGGGCGTATCGTTTTTTAGCCGGTGATGTGGTTCTCTTGTATACTTTTATCTGTCTTGCTTACAGCTTTTCGTCTTCCAGTGTTATTTTATCATACTCTTCCGTTTATCGTCAGTCAGAACCGTATTGAAATATTCAGCCTTCAACACTTACAATAACATGGAGTATTTTTTTGAGCGATGCGAAGTCTCTAATTTATACCATGTACAGTACACCACTATTAACTTCTACTACGTTGCACAGCGACATACCATGCGAGTCTTTTGAGGAAATCGCTAGTAACAATGTTATTAAAACTCTCTCAAAACAAGAGATGACACAGTTCGGTGCATTACAAACTGTATGTTTAATGACTAGCTGTCATTAGAGAGACACAGTTTCATGACGTGTAAGAGACTTGCAGCTGTACGCGGTCCACGAACGTGTTAAAACAAAATCAAGGAACAACGTAAGTATTGATGATCAAACGTATTCAGATATGTACAGCAATACATGTAACATATTCGAGAGGTACAATAAGGAATTGCGGATTAGTTCGCTAAGAAAATTGAATTTTGGTGAGTTGTATTTTTAACATACACTAACAAGGCTTAGGATCGAATTAAATTGTGGTCTGTTTACATGAATAAACCGGATAAGTTGCAGAAAATACCCTTTGCCGTTATCCTGACGGGTAAAGGTGATTTTCGAAAGTAAAGCTTGTAAAGGTTAACTGGTAAAAGAAGCTATTGCCGCAAGGTACTTTCTGCCATATTTTTCATGCGTCTTTCCACTTTTTTGGAAATTCAAGGCATGATCCCAGAATTAACGGAAATTAACAGAACGGAAAATAATAATGATTGCTTAAAAATGATAAAAAATACCAAATACTTTATCTAGGCTGTACTCGTCGATTTCACGACGATTTAACGAAATACCAAGAGCCCTGAATTTGGTTCTGTGGTTTAGTTTGGAACCGTCGAGGCAAAAATTCATAAGAGTTCATCCAACTCAGGGCTTTGGTTTTACAAGGAGAAGCCCATTGCGATACAAAATACCCCACCAACAGTACATCCATTTCACCAAATGACAGGAGAGGCTCCGAGCAATAACCTCAGCTTTTACTTTTCTCAATTCTCTTAAACGATTTCCTAAGCAGCATAGTCGGTACCCGCAACCCTGTGAGACCTGACATGTTCTACTGGACGATGATAATCTCGCGGTTCACGGGCGGGGTGAAGTTAGGCAGACATCGGCCCGCCTTCAACTATACGTGATAATCGTGATCTAGGAAGCAACTCGGAAAAGACCAAAGAGCTATGAAGTTTCGAAAGGCACGGATACTAGATATTGTACTTTTCCCACTAGAATATGTGAAGCATGTTTGCCACGCAGGTTTGGCTATATCCTCTTCCAGGATTTGTTACACCGAATGTTATACAATGTGTTAGATTGCGAGCGTAACTGTAAAGAGGCCTGTACTTTTTCTTTAATATCAAGCTCGCAGCAATGATCTTATATGGCATCAAACTCGTCTGGGGAACCTTAACATAGTTTAAATGGCATAAGTTAAATTAGGTACTGCGTTTCCCAAAAGAGCGCTGGACGTGCACACATCCAGTTAAAATCACTACGTGTATTTTTTAATGGATACGTTTCGATTTGTTAAAGATCTTCAACGCCACTTAGATCTACTAAAAATGACTTCGTACGACAATCGGAAAAACAAATGATTAGCGTCGACCTAAAGTTTTTTCTTCCGAATATATGGTGAAAAAACATCTAGGGAGCTACACAGAAAGGGCAAGTAATCAGCGACGTAGCGCATAGCTTCCACCATGTACGTGCTAATAAATCGTATCATGAGCCAAACGAAACCTACATTTGCGTACGTTGCCGTGGCCCCTCTCGATGACACCACTTAGGCTCATGTCCAAAGGTGTCTTCCTTGAATAGCGATTATGCTTACACTGTAATTATCGCATAGTATATTTGGCATGCCACTACAGCAATATTCGAGGGCTTTTGGAATCGAAGGTACGTTGCAATTGATTTCGAAATATTTTCTATCTGTTTCAGGATTTTCTTTTGGTGGAATAATATTTTTATATCGCATGTTTGGTAGTTATTCACGTCTCAAACGAAAATGTTAATTTTCGTTAAGTATAGTTTTTGAAAATAAACATTGGCACATTTAAGAGATCTATGATGTAAAATGGGTTTTGTATCTTCTTTTTATCGATAAATGAAGATAGTGTCAAAATCTCGTACAACAGCAACAATTGCAATGAATCTCGCAACATCAAGACGCGTTACAACCGTAGTTGCGATTTATTCATTTTGTTTCTAAATCAAACGCCAGGCATCTGAAGACCAGCCTGCCCATCAGCAATTGAACTTTCAAGTATTGTAAGTATATTTCAAATTCAAAATAAATAGCAATTTGTATTCACAATACAATTATACTGTGTAGGACATTATTAATAGTTAAATTCGAAATTGTCTTACCTGTGGAGAATGCTCTTCACATTTAGTGTCATCGCCTGCATCTCGTTCAGTTTCCTGGTCACTGGCTTTTTTCTGAGATTCCTCCTTATGACTCAGTCCTCCTTGCCTAATGTTACTAGTTTTCCTTTGTGTATGATCTAGACCTCCAAGTTGTCCGCCTCCCTTATTTGACTGCTGCTTTTGGTCATTTCGACCCATATTATGCTGTTCTTCGCTCATTTGCGCCATCAGACTTTCCTTTATTCTTTATTCATCAATGAAAAGAGATAGGCCACAGTGTTGAAATAGCGTTGAAATAGACCCAAAGTGTAATAACACTGAAACGTAACGTTAGAGTTTACACTCATAGTTCGAATAGTAGGCTTTATCGGTATCAGCGCAATACATTCGTTCATGTTATCTTTCAACATTACTTCACCAAATCACAATTTGTATTCGAGTAGGTAGAATCAAGAGGTAAATTCGTAGCTAGAAAAAGGTAGGCTGTTTTTTCTTGAGTTCACTCCAATTCTAAACTTAATTTATTTTCGTAACTCTAAACGTAGTTTTCACTAAACGAGAATTGGACGGTTTTATACATGTGTATGCATATACTACTAGTGTGCATTTTAAAAGAAACCATTAGCATTCCAAAGGTTTAAGTCACCACGAAAACTTATGTCTGCTTACTTTCTCTGCGCTTATTTCAATTTCGATCGTATTGCTCCTTCATATTATCTGCAAGCCCATAATCACTCGTAAATTGGTGTACTAACACTAGATCACGCTAAATGCTAAATTAAGACGGAGGTGTTCGGGGTACATTTTTGCCAGTTCCTTGTTGTAGCGGGCGTGCATTTGTTCACAGCTGTTGGTGTTAGAAGAAAGCCCGTGTACTTTAGAATCGAAAGATTAATTTATTATTATGGCGGTCGGGGCCTGATTTCTGAAATATCAAAAAAATTCTGCTATGGTCTACTATTTTCAAACCGGACAGATTGTTACCAAGGTAGTAAACTAAAATTAACTGCCTAAAACAAGGCATAATAGTGTATACAAATGATGTAAGAAATTATACATCAGTACGCAAGATCCAGAATAGGGATTAGACCAAAAAAGCAAAGTTCGTTAAAAAATGCACAAACTCCATGTATGATGATGTTAATAACTAATTTTAATGCAGCACATTAAAGGCTTGTCTTGAAATGGGATTATTGATAGGCTATTGGCTTCTTTATGTAAGCCACAATGCTTCACTTCCAGGTCCTTATTTTCTCGGTTTGGTTTACGTGACGTTTCAAACAAAGAGAAGTTCAATGAAATAAACATGTTCGTTAGGTGTGTTTCTACCGGTGCATGAAAAAAATACGTCTGAAAATTTGTCCTCATTAAGACGCAGCCAATAAACAAGCGACGTCAATTTAGCTTCGATGTGTCCCAAACATTCAGTATTATTCGCTTATGATCTTTTTTGTTTATTGCTTGACGTTTTTGACTTTTTATTCATGAAACTGCTATGAGTCGTAAAAAACGCTCCACCGAGGCCAAAGTGCTTCGAAAACAATCCCAAAAAAGTTGGGTGTATATTGCAAAAAGTCTGTAACTGAGAGAACTACTTAAATTCACTTGTTTAAAAATGGAATTTTCTACCTAAAAAGCATCGCATTGAGCGCTGTCGAAGATCGCCTCAACTCTTTACTCATCTAAGCGACGTCAAGTTTGAAAATCACTCCATCCACATAGACTCCTCGTTTTTCTCTTTTTCATGTTTCAACCTTCAATTCACGATGCGATGCCGCTTAACATTCAAGCTAACACATCAGCGTGTTCTATAGGGAAAACCGTATATTTACTGAAGGGAAGCGTTTGAATACGAGTCGTATGTATATATATATATACTTATATATACCAAGTTCATCGACCCGGAACAGCTACTTCATTACAGAAATTCTTTTTCCTGAGCCGACCAATCGTTTAGAATACCCTCAGCAACCCCGTTACATTGTGCAACTTAATGCGACCAACCACTCCATTTTACTTGGTCGCATCCAACGATCGATTGTAGTTCTCCTCTGGTAGTGATCCTCTAATTTTCCAGTAGCATAAGGTATTGCTCGATTGCAAACTGAGATATTTACGAATGTTGCGATTCCCCTGCCTCGTTGTGTTAACTATGCTATCCCATTGCATCTATCGGCATAATAAATTTCTCATTTCAAGTCAATATTTTCGTTATTTTGGTGGACTTATTTCACTCATTTCAGTAAATATTTATCTTTCTGGAATGATCTCGCTTTCCTATGGACTGTCCTAAAAATGCCCCATGTCCCATTAACTTAGCTGCTTTGTTTTAGCTAATCTATTAACGCACTGCGTGTACCTCATTATTTGAGAAAATAACTGAACTCGACTTTAAAATTGCTAATATATATTCAAATCTTTTTATTTTACTTTCAAATGTAAACTTGATATCTGACAGTACAGGCTGCGTTAGTCTAGGATTTTACCTGACCCAGACCTGAAACCCTCCTGCAGTGATTTCCATTCTCTCATTACCAGATTTTCGCAACTTTGGTAGCATGTTGCATTTATGTTCTTCTTCTATTTCAGTTAAATCCTATGTTCCGGAGAAAAATATACATCCAGCTGAAGAAGACACAAAACTGAGATAATCCATGTTTCATCAGTTTCCAACTATTTAAGCAAAATCAAGCAAGGAGATGAAAGACGGAAGTCTTCTCTCAAATTCGATGATAAGTATTCTCTAGAATTTGAAAACACGAAAACTTCCCAGTATAATAATTTTCACAAATTTTCAGCGACTGTTAGGCAAACTGCAAAAAAGGTTAACTTAGTTAATATTTCGTCGACAGTTTCGCAGATTTACCAAAATATTAACCTATAGTGTAATCTTTCGCTGATAAACATCGGAGTCGCTGGTTTAAACTCCGCCAGCGACATTTACGTACGCAGTCTGCATAACTTGAACAGAAACGAATTCTGTCTTCCTAAATGCTGTTTTATTTCTCAACGTAAGTTTCCTTATAAGTCTATACATTTTTCCAGTGATGTTTTCAACTCTATAATTTCTCTAAGCAGAAGTTTGCAATTTGACCTGCAAAATACGAATATGATGGCCACCTCACTCGATAAAACCCTAACCTCCTAAAAAAAAAGGTCGCTGGAAGCCCGCTCTGGTAAAGTTAATGTAACTCAATCAATAATATCTCAAAAAACACTCATTATTTTCCGATGATAGGGCTGCTGTCACCTTTTTTAGAGTCGGTTCAGCGTTTGCAATCGGCCGTTTCGAGTATTCCATGCTTTCGGAAACCTAGCGGTGTACCCATACATTGCCTTTTTAAATGCAAACATTTCGTGACGGCGCAATATTCAATTTTTCAATTTTTGTAGAAACGATATGACAGTTCTAACGAGTAGCTTCATCTTTATGTTGAAGCTAAAAACTTTTTAGACTACTCTTGCATTATACGATAAGTGTGGTAAAATAAAGAAACAAACAATATTCAAATACGTATTAACAAAATGGTACAGTTTTATAATTTGTCATGAATAACACAATCACGATTGAGTTCAAAGTTTAATGTTTTGCACAGAATGGATTCATCATAGTTATTGGGGAACAATTACACTAAATAACACTGCGCTACAGATGTACTTTTCTTCATATTAAATTTAATTAAATCATACGTCTTATTTTGGCTGATTTAAAATGATTGTGTCAAAAAAAAGTTCTAAATTTTATGTCAAACGTTTGCCCCTGGTATAACAAATATTTGGCACCGATCCAGGTGGTTTGCTGAAGTATATATGACCGGCGGAAATCGATGCGGCTCGCTAATTCCTCAATTTCTCACGTACGTTCGACAGGGTAAGCCACAAAGCGTCCATGATAAAACAGTTATTTACTACAAAACATTTCGTACGTAAGCTCGATACTGAGAAATACTATGCTTCGTCTATATGAAGCCCTGTTAGGGTAGTCTTTGCTAAATATACGCTGTTGACTTCAGCTGTGCGAAGTCGTTTGCTGACAACCTAATTATCTGCATATTTAGTAAACAAAAAGACATTAAGAAGGAACTGCAACAAGCAGTTATAATATTTTAGGGCGATGGTGATAAAGACGAAGAGGGTCTCCTGATTACGCGCGCTTTGTTACACATACGTTGTTGACTTCAGCCGTGTATGAGTCGTTTACTGATGATGTGAATATTTTTACATTCGGCAAACAAAAAAGCTTAAAGAAGAAATTGCAACATGTAATTATAGAATTTTAGAGCCGTAGTGAGAAATTACACCTGCAGATCCCGAGGTATGTAATTGCATATGATTGTCCTAGCCATTTATGCGTCTTTTACCACACACAGTTAATATGTTCCACTTCTAGAATTAAAAAAAATTGATTCTTTTCGTTTTTGAGCCAAGAAACATGATATTCATTCATTCCGCTACTTTACTTGAGATTATTTCGAGATAAATTGAAAAATGTGTCAAGCACATAGCTTCTTGAGTTATATATATTTTAAGATTAATTCTGCCATAGAAGTGTAAACTTGATATCTCAACGTGTTTTCTTGGAATATTGCACCTTGGACAGGTGTCTTGTAAATTTATATGGTACACCGTCCGATACTTCACTGGTGTTCTTCATGTACAACCACCATACTTTAGAGTTGTGCATACGAAACCTGCCAAGAAAAACTTGTAAAATACCTTCCTTTTAGAAATAAAATATACATAATGATTGATAATAAATAATTTAACAATATTGGTAACACTTCTATTAAAAGCGAAATTCGCTGGGATTTCTTAGACCTTAGAGGCATAGACCTCAAATAACGCTCGAAACTGGTATTAGCTGCTGGTTTATTCTATATATAGTAAATGTGATACCAAGGATATTGATATTTTGGCATAGAAATTGTCGTATGGATATCAGCATACTATTTCGGCTTTCCGCCTGTAATGGAATGTCCGACTCCTAAAATCTAAGACTATTTTCAAGTATTGCAATCTAATGTGATATTAGCAGGAATAATAAAATAAAAATAGTAAAAAGTAACTGAATCCCTAAAACCAAGTTTTATATATAAGTCATCTATAAAGTGCTATGACTTAAATAGTGTTATAAAACCATGCAGATCTTCTCTAGTTCTTCAAGCATAAGAACGTTTATATGTGATTAATTAAGAGCATTTTAAATATAGGCAGTGAGCTACTTCAAGCTAATTATTTACGTGTACCATATGCCGGAACTAAGATTTGCATTTTAAGGATGATTTCTTGACATGACGTAAAGCTATGTCTTGTTTGTGACACAGGTAGCTGTCAATCAAAACAATTGGATTGGGTTTGCCTATAGTGCTTCAAAAGGGCCTTTAAAAAGATTCTTTTTTTTGATTTTCATTTATTTTAAACCTACTAACTTTATTACTGACATTATTGATTTTTGTCTGTTTATGAAGTGCATTTTTTATTTCGATTTTTTAATGGTTTGTCGTTGTTCTGAAGAGTGTCTGGCGAAATTGACTGAGCTATTTTTTAGTGGATTTTTCCCCCAATTTATTCTCCTCCAGCGGTATCTTGTTTTCACACGGGAATTAATCTAGAGAGGCCTACAAGCTCGCGATGATATAGTCAAAACAGAATACACGCTCTTATGAATTTTGACGGTTAAAAAGGGACGAACGCGACAACAACAGCACTTCTTCGTCATTTATGATGACGTTTAGAAATTACCGCTACCGCAACTACAACACCGTCGGTGAATAGCATTATGATGACAGCCACGAGCATCGTCTTACATGCCTCAGTGTGTTCTGTAGTCCCGTAGTGAAGTAAACCAGTATACAATTAGTCAAAAAAAATCAAGCACTGCGCTAGCTAATACAGTTCAAGTGCTTGATCTCTACCTTTTTAATTGTATCACCATTGTGTTTACAATTGTAGCCATCATTTGACTATGAATTGCATTTTTGTTTTTGGCTCTTTCGGCGATCTTCATAATTCCATGATTTTGCTGAAATGGGCTACATTTTGGTACATATGATTAGAAAACATTCCCGAATGCTTATTGCGGTCCAGGTAAAGGAAGAGCGATGTAATCACACCGTGAGAGTTAATGCAATTATTCACAGGTATACAAATCAAATACAGCCACATGGTGTGTAAAACAAATCGTCTAGACCTGTCTAGCAGGGCCAACTAAGTCTCACACATCCGAATTTTTTCGTGTATCTGGAAAAGGATTTAGGGTCTTTTAAGCCCTCCTCGAAAAATTCTTTGTCCACAAATATTAGCTGGAACCTAATAAAATTTTTGCGTGGATCATAACTAGTGAACTGCTAAATTTTTTTTCCGATGTTGCCGATAATAATGAAGTTCTAGTATAAAAGTGACCTACTGGTTACAGGATTTCCATTCAGGCGCCATATGATAACGGCAAGTTGAAGCGTTTAAAATGTGATAAGGATAGATCTCGGGCCAAAATTCGGTGTCTTTGCACTATAGAAATTTATTTTTCCTATATATTTTATATCACTAGTTAGATAGGCGGTGAATCATGTTCAATCCTTCTCGTTTGACGGCTAATTATTAATTTTAAGTTACTCCATTCGTAGTAGGGTTCTTACTTTTCTCAACTTAGCTGCGTACATCAGAAATAAGTCAGCATAATTTTTTTTTTGTAAATTATATATTTAGTCATGATGTATTAATGGCGTATGAAGCTGCGTTTGTGCGCGTAGCAGCATTGCTTTGTCCAAAGTATCAATTAGTTGAAACTATTACTGGGAATAAAAAAAACGCAGTTCAGATCTAGTAGTAGTCTAATAGTTGACGCACCTACGGCATTTTGTATTAATAGAAAGGCAAAAAAAAATACAAGGAATTTTTTAAAACCGCTTTCGATGAAGCGCTTTTGACATTAATTTGGAATCCAAGCTTACAGTATTTTAATGTATTTTTTAACAGAACGCAAGTGAACATAAAGTGGCTTTCATTTTTCGGTGGCCTGCCCCTTACCTGCACATAATACAATACATCTGCTTTGAGCTGCACCCACACGTTTGGGATATCTAGGGTAAAGCTCGAACCAAATGTTTACAGTACAAACAGATGAGTTGAAGAGAATAATTTAAGCATTAGATATGAATGAACACGCACACGCCTCATAAGATGTGCTATAGTAGAGGTTTGCGAACAGCCTGACTAACAGACATTGGCAGCTTAGGAAAATATATGTTAGCCTATTCTTTAATCGTATCTTTTAATAAATAGCAAAACATGTACAGCATGCTAAGCGCTTACAAAATGCACACTCACCTTTTGCTTTCAGCCCGTAAGTTTTTATCTAGATGGTTTTCCTCCCACGTCTGTTGCCAGAATCCTTTTTGATGTTGACACGGTATGTGTGCTTTTATTTTCGCATCTGGGTCACCACATTCCCGTGCCTCGTCTTCATTACATACGGATCCATCTTGCGTTTTTCGCTGCATCATTCCACGTCTTCTCTCTATCTCTTTTTCAATATATTGAGCCTTCAAAGGAGAATCAATATTATGGCTCATGTGCGATGTAACTTAACTCTTTTTTATCTACGTATCAGTGTTTCCGATTTAAATTTACACCCCTTTAGATTCCTATACTTTTAAATCCCAAAAGTGAAACAGAATGTTTAGTACAATTAAAAGTGCTTTCATATTCTGTACGCACTTTATGTAATTGATCAACCATTACGACGAGCGTCTTTTATATCGAAATCTCCAGAACGAAAGAGACAAAATTATTTGAATCGTGTTTTCCGCTAACGCATGTTGCCCATAAACAGCACAAGTTTTCAAAGGTCTGGACAGCATTTGTGCCGTTATCGCAAAAAAAAACTAACATGCGAATTTTTGCGGAAACTTCTTTTTCTTTTCAAAAGGCGCTTTATTTTAAATCTGAAAGGCATTGTTATAATGTTAGTACATCTGCTGTTGTCAAATTTCCACTTTTAAAGCCGATATTATATGTGACCTTAAAGCTATCTATCTGACAAAACGCTTAATACTTTCTCCGCAACCCAATATTTTGTGAAGGAGTCGGTGAAGGAGGTCGCGGGTCGTAGATTAACAATATAGTGGTCTAAATTCAAAACTGATTTTGAAAACTGAAATCATTATTACATCTTCGCGTATCATGGGAAAATACCAATGTCCAATACAACTCGCCATGGATAGCTATTTCGACTGAGCACTCACTTTGCGCCCTATATCGTTTTGATCCTCCTCGATCATCAAGGACTCTTTATTTTCCGAGCCTTCTTGCGTGTCATCTTTGCATTCAACGGTATCTTCAGTTGCCTTATCCGTCTGTGCCTGGCTATTTTTGTTATAGAGCTCAGAAACTGGTACAAGTGGTGTGGAGGAAGGATCATCTTGTGGCCTGTCGAGTTCCACGATTGTCGAATCCGCTCCGCGTGATACAAATGAAGATCGCCTCGTGTCAGAGATACCAGAAACCCCCTGCAGTTTTACAAGTGGGTATTTGAAACGTGTATGTAAAATACGCAGCATGCCGCAATTGGTTATATTATACATTGTTAAGAAAGCAATTTTTTTTCACACACAAATCAATAGTTGAAACTTGTAACTTGGTTCAATCGAGAAGTAATTTTTTTTTTTATAGAAGTCGGTATTGAAGTTCAGTCACTTTGTCACATACATTGTAGCTTCGATGTAGTAAGATTACTATCCGTATAATTTCCCGTATTTCGAAGTCCACTATGATCATTCTACATTCTTAATGGATTTTTCACGGTTTTGAATCGGATTTCTAAAAAGACTCACACAATTCAAAACATCAAATTGTAAAACATAATACATGGACTACTTTATATACCAATGCAATACTGTATTTCTAGTCGTGCCCCTACAAAGAGTTACAGCAATGATAAAGCATCGAGATGGAATTACTGAGGTTCTGCTACGACATCCTCGAACACACATCAAAATAGGCAAAGTGATGAATCAAAAATTACAAATTCTGAGAAGATACAAGTGAGGCGAAGAAATCACAAATGTAGAGATAAATGTAAGAGATAGGCTTACAGCTTACTAAAACGTACCTTATGCATGCGAGTATGTATGATTTATTAGTCTACAATGACGATTCTACAGCGCCCGTTATTCGAAATCACAAATTATGATAGCGAGTATAGGCCATAATTAATACAGGTCTCATTATAACTGATTTGCTGAAACTGTTTGCCTATTGATACTTTAATTTCTTATAATAGTTCTACAGCGAAATTGCTTATTGTAGTGGAGCGAAATAATTTCTGTATGCGCTCTCAGTAATTGTGTTCATTAAACGTTTTTGTTAGCCCACTAGCCACTGCCTCTAAAGATATGCCAAAAGGCCTTGTGTGTCCTGCTTTGGATGCCCCAAACATGTTATTTAACTTTTGCTGCTTGAGTTACAAATGCACTCAAGATTTGTGTCGCTCGTAGACACAAGCGACACAACTTGCGAGGTTTAGCCTATTTTAGCTTGCTTACCTTGTATTTTATGTCAATAAATTAGTTTAAAGAAATAGGTATTTTTTGATTTCTCATTACAACCTGGTTGTTTTGTATAATTCTGGTGCAGTATTAAATATTAACATTACTTACCTATAATTATCAAAGATTGTGATAAGGCATAACTTCGGCATAAAAGGCAAAAAAAGACCTACCACGCTCGTCTTACGCAAAATGGATAGTCTTAAAGACTCACCTTATTTTTAAGGATTCCCGGTCCTGGTTGCAAGACGTTGTGCCGTGGGGTATGCTGGCCACTTTTTGGCACTTCTCTATAAACCGTTTGGTCTTCGGGATTTGCGGTATTCTGCTGACTGTATTCAACAGATCGATAAGCTTGCGAGTCGTTATCGTTTGCTTCAGAGGGACTGTCTTGCTTGCCTTTAAACTGGCTGCTATGATCCTTTGGATCCACGCTATGCCATCCTGGTTCTCGGAATTCCTCGAGCTCAGCCGTCGTTCGGTGGAACTCACTTTGATCCGTAACGTATGTCAAGGAACACGACTCGGGACGAGATGCCAGCTGAACAACAATGAAGGTGACTCATTCTTGGTTATTGTTTCCCGTAAATTAAACATTTTCTAGGTATTAAAGTTCGGAAAATACAATTAACTTTGTTTTCTCGATAAATAAAAACGCTATTTCGAGCAGACGCTTTACAGTCCAGACGAAGCAGGCCTCTAATCAATTCGTCGAGACGCCCTAGACAATTTGCAATGTTAGGCGAACTTTCAAGTGTAAAACAAGAAAACAAAAAGCATGCGCACATTTTGTGTCGTGAAAGAAATATCATGCACCGAACGTTTAAATAATGAGGAAACTAAAGTATCATTCAAATTTCTAATTACTTGTTCGATTTCGTGACGAATAGGAGACCATTATTACCGACCGCTGTTTACGTAGGTCGTAAACAAATATGTAGCGAAAATCAAGACAGATGTTTTTAGAGAAATATCCTTAGCAGAACGACATTGTCCAGTAGTCGTGTCATTAAAGCTTCTAGCTGTCAAAAAAGATTTAGCAGTGCTTGAAGGAGCTTGAGGCGACAAGCTACGGCTTTATGGTTACTACATGTTCCAAATAAGAGCTTCAAACTAACAATAAAGTAGCATACCGCTAAGATGTTTCTCACCAATGTTGCTGCTGCAAGGCATTTCTTTAATATATATTTATGTCTCAAGGCCCTACAGTATCTAAGAATAAAGTCGCGAAATTTTGGAGAAATCGCGTGAGTCTCTTCTTCACAAATAATCGAAACTTTGGAAGAATTCCTCTGATCCTTTACTGTTCTTAGTAGAGCTTGCTCTTAGTTTCTTCCGTCTCCTTCGAAGCAAATAATCTTTCATATTTAATCCACTCATTTATTCGGCCTTGTTGCCTGTGGCTTTTTTAATTTATAAATTTAGGGGATTTTTTTATTTTATTTTTTCTCATCATATCAAATTTAAGAAAATTTGAAGGGATGGCGCAACAGGTATGCAGAAAATCTTGAGAGCGGCCTTAATGATTTTCACTGTCCTCGTGGCTAGGTTTAGTTTGATAGGAAAGATCATGTATAAAAAGCTCCGGATACGAGGAATAACTTTAATGCGCAGAAATTCAGGCGATCGTCTTAAGAACTTGTAGTTAAACCATCGATAGGCCATTCAGTCTGATATAATACGGCTGAGACGGTTAACAAGTTAACCAATAAGAGCCGCTTCATTAGTTTAAGCAGAATCTGTTTTTTGCGCATCCGTTATGTTAATAAAAATTTCGCCATTTCAGTAAAGAATTATCCGAAGAAGAAGAATGCTTATTTTACTACTGTAAAGCACTAGAGCACATGATTTGATGACGATAATTTGATAATATGATGAACTAACTGACGGCAAGGTTTACCTACTTTTTGTGCAAGAATAATTCCTTCTTTAAACATCATACAAATTAAAAGACCAAAGGAGTCGATAACATTCATACACATTAATTCGCATTTGTATGCAATATTTATAATAAATTTTTTTAATTATTGCATATGTAGTCCATTAATGGAATATGGATTTCAAACATAACATACGTATTTCAAATTTTACTGTTAATTCTAATGGGCTAGAGGCCTTATTTCTTCTACTGTAGATGCTTTGACCATGTGGGTTAAGCTTCTTAGGTGTCATCTTAGTGAAGTTGCACCAGATGTTGCCCATTCTTTCTAAACTTATTAGATAAAAGCATGCTTACATTATTGGCAGTGCATATTATTTACATTTCATCGTATAGAGATTTTAAACATTTTCACTTTAGCGGAATTTTTTAGGTTCTCTAGACGTAAAGTGGTTGTCCCTATAATAGCTTAGTAGGTAAGGTATATCCTTCCTAATCCTTTGCTTTTTTCTTTGTTTCTCTGAGGTTCTTAAAATATTGACCTAGCCCGCCGTACTCAGTACGTCCTTGCTTCGTCAGACACACCTCCTTGACTTATCGAACTTACTTGAAGTGTCGAACTATAATCTATGTGTTTGCCGTAATTTCTTTCACTCAAATTACCGTTCTTAAGGAGTTAGCTAGAGTTCCTCTATATATTTGTCGAGAATTGACATGTTTGTTAGCTTCTAAAATCCAATTAAGACTTGGTCTAAGTTCGTCCAAATTTTGTTAGAACAAATCCAATAAAATATCTTTCTTTTTGGCGAAAGTGGGAACTGTTGTTTATGAAGCCTTTCTAACTGGCCTTGTACATACATATCGTTATATTATTACTGCTTGTTTTACCTTGAGTATTGTCAAATGTCCTCTCAATTAGACCATTTAGCAAGTCGATAGGAAATATTCATTGGTTAGAAGCTCCTAACTTTGGGTTCTTTGACCAATTCGCCACCTGGAATCTTCTTAAATTTTGTACAGTCGAAACATCCATGTTGTTTGTCAAGGTGGCACATAAAATGCCGTTATGCCCGTGTCCTGCATTTACCATTAATTAAGTTGTTTCATCGTCTAGTCACTGTTTTTGCTGATAATCATTGGGAGAGCTGTCTGGATATCAGGAGAATGTAGCAAAACTATTTCTGTGATTATCATAAGCTTATGTATCTTTTTTATGTAAGAACAATTTAAGATTCATGTGTTCGAACACATTATATTTAACCGAAATCAGTGAGATTTCTTATATCCGTGTTATCCACTGATCAAATTTTTTTTTGTTAAGTTGGTATATAAGCAGTTCCAGTTTTTTCAACGGTTTTCCATAGGTATGTCTGAAAGAAATAATAATATCTTTGACATTTTATATTTGTCGTTCTCAAAAGCCAAAATTCCACGGGAACGTTCCGCGATATGTGCCAGCTAATAATACGACTCAAAAGCTACAGAAAGCTTGCTAACTTTAAAAGTAGTATCTTTGACCTAAATAATCTTTTCCAGTTGATTTGTCAATTTCGTCGAGGAATATCATTGCTAAGTAAACTTATATATTTTGGCTATAAAAACGTTGTCGTACGCGAGACATATATCCTGGGTTACTTCCGCAACATCATTAGAATAATTTTCAAATAAGAAAAAATTGGAAAATGCCGTTTTATTATTCGAAATTAGAGCCTGAAGCAAGCTTAAAATTTTGTAAGCAAATTAAATTTTTGTATCATTAGCAAATGAGAAGTCAGAAAACAAAACCTGTAAAAATGCAAAACAAACGTCATTTGTTTTCTACCAATCAGCTTCTGCTCCAGAGATTTCGTGAGCTTATCCTGAACGAGAAAACACCACTCCTTCTGACCCAATCATAAGATTATTTATGTATGCTAGACGACGTTCTTGTATGACGCTGATATGATATTATATATAGTATTGCGCGTTTTTCCTTGTTAGCTTGCTTATTTTAGTCCGTACTTCTTGGTTAGTAACGGAATCCTCGTGCCCATATGTCTCTTCTAAATGTCATCACTTATTATATTATCCTTGATTATTTGAATTCGTTACAAATAAATTCCTGCATTGGGCGTGAAGTTTGTACTGTACAGTAGGCGTATTTTTAGAACCTTGTGGAGCTTTATATTGGGAAAAAGTAAAGCTTTCCCATCAAAATCTTCTACGAAGCTTTTTACTTACCATCATGCTGGTGTCATTTGAAAGATTAGTTTGTATTGGATACTCCTTTCGAGTATTCCGGTCCCCTCCTCCTCTCTTGTCATCCCCTGAGGTATAGTTTTCTTGAATTTCTCTGCACTGTTCATCGTTTGATACGCTTTTTTTAACGTGCTCATTCTCAGTCTCACAAGATGACTTGCTTTTTATCAAAATATTCCCCTTTTCCTGCTCCGTTTGGCCTCCGTCGGGCGCTTCTAAATTTTTGTGTCTCTTATCGATATCTTTCTTACGCTCTGAAGTTCGTGGTAGTCTCCCATTTCCTACAGAGTACCTAAGATTCAAATAAAGAAAAACAAGGTAGTCATTAACTAGGAATAAGAAAGCGTTAGACTTTTGTTAACTTCTTGTCATGATTATCACAAGGATGCGATACCGTAAAAGTTTAGACCCCAAAGATATATTCGCAGGTCTTTTTAACCTCTTACATGTACAATATGCGACCGAACTTTTGTTCATACAAAGTGATTATCGAACAAATATTTTGCATTTGTCTACCAAATAATGGAGCTCTTAATTTTTGGTAAAGATAATCTAACGCTTTTCCGAAGTTAATATCTTTCGACTAATTTAATTTATTGGATATCTTCGATCAATGTGTCACCTTAATCAACTTGAGCATTATTTACAATAGAACTTACATGGAACAGTGATTGCATTTGACAGCCTTTTCCCAAAAAAATAGCAATGCATACCAAAATGTTTGTCTTTTTGTTATGGAAAAGGGAAAACTATTTACATTCCGATCATTATTTAAAGCCGTGTATCTTTTTAAAACGTACTCGAAATAACTGAAAAGCCTTAGCTTTTGTTTTTGAAATAGAAACTTCAGAAACTTTGAAAAATATTTTTATTTGGTTATTTATTAACTGGTTTATTACGAATTACTAGAAATAACTATAAGATGACTCTCTACAATAATAGTCAAAAATTATAACAAAAAAGTTTAGTTAAAAAAACTGAAAAAACAGGTAAAGATTTCCATTACTACAAATCTTTCGTGGAGTATAAGAAGAGCTATAGAGTGTAATGAAAATTCAACACTGAGTACACTGAGAGAACCAGTGGCTCGCGCAAAATCAAGACAACAATGAAAAAAATCTTTAATAACTAAAAAACATGTATCGATTTGCATTTCTATACCTGCACGAAATAAATGCTGAGGCAATCAAGATTTTCTACTATATAACCTAAATATGAGCATCTTAATAAAACACAGTCGATTTAGAAGCAAAAAATCGGTTATTCTCGGTCTTAGTTATCAGTCAATCGGTATCAGGCAATCTAGTTCATTGAAAATTTAGACACGACCCAAATAGTGTGGTTGTGGTAAAAAAATAAAGGATCTAAATTAACACGGGCATCGTAATTTTTCTGCCCTTGCGATCACATAAACAGTTTTCATACGATGATCTTACTTAGTAATCAAAATGTGTGCGTGTGTTAAATACAAAATATCTACAGTTCAGGACCTAAACGACTTAAAAATTCAATGGTAGCTAAAAATGGTTTTAAATTTATTGAGCTCAAACAATATACATGTGTATATATATATGTAAATTCCCTGACTCTAAAAACTATGTTAAGTGTTATATCTACGAATTATGGATAACTAGTGTAAACGGGTTAAACAAAGAACATTACGATAAAAGAGGTGCTTATAGCGATTTAGAGAGCACTAGTTTGTTATCGCACAGTACCGCGATTGGAAGAGAAGCAGTGTGTCGAAAAGTAAGGTTCACTTGGTCGTCGTTCAATCTTGTCGTCTAAAATGGGAAGCAAAATAAGCTAATGTTCGAAAAATCATCGATCAAAAATGTTTCTGTCGTTGACCTATATAGTCCCATTAGTTGGAATTAATGGGACAGAAGTGAGGTCATTAATGATTTTTTGCTAAACGGATCGATTTTTTCAAATTTTGTTTTCAATACACAGCACTTTTTGGGTAACGTAACTGATTGAAACTGATTTATTTGACAGCTGAAAGGAAAGATAGAATTTTTAAAAATTGAGCTACCAATGTTTTTTTTTGTGAGAATGGCAAATGGTTTGCAAGCTTTGCTTGTTAAAAAAATTTCCTGCAGCTGACATTTGGCCAAAAATGCCTTTCAGTTTCTTGCTCCTGAGATTTTTGGGACATTTGAGGAGGTATGTCGGCTCAACTTCGTAACCACACATCGTTCACATATATCCTTCCGGCGTAACATCAATAGCATTTTTCCTTTTATAAAAGACACCTCTCCCTTCTTCGTGAGGACCTGTCAGCTCAGGACGCAGTTATACGTTTCTTACCTTGTAACTTCCTATTCGCTGTTTGATTAACTCGTGCACCTTTACTAAGTTTTATGTTATTCCCGCTTTTGCCCTTTAGAAGAATCGTACGTTAACAAATTCACGACTTAGACGCAAATTCCCCGTTTGTCTGGATTCATTCTGTAGAAAAATACCTGTTTTCCAAAATCCTTCAACAATTCTTATTATCTTAGATCATGTTTTGTATGAACTTTTAACGAGACGGAATACGTCGTGAAATGCAATTCTTATACCGTAACAAAGTTCTATTTAGCTATACAGAGCCAAGCTGTGGGTAGTCCAAAGTCCGACACGTGTAAAGGTTGTGGCTTCTTTAACTAGTGTGGGATTAGTATATTGATGAAGATGTCATTTTCTAAAATTGACTTCATCACATTAAAAATTGTACGAGTTTTGTGATTCTCCGAAAACAATAAAACATTCATGACAATTTTTAGATATTTCATTTTTTGAACCATCCGGACAACTGTGCAAAACCTTGGCTTCTCACGAGTGCATCCATTAGCATATATTCCCTTTAGTGCACCTTAGGAAATATAAGGTGCTATGGGAATGTCCCACTTACGGGAATGAAGGCAAGCATCTTAATTAGATCCCCGCGTTCTTGTGATATTACCCAAGCAAACGGGCAATATATGTGCATGATTACCTTTGGAGAATTAGTTAGAATTTAAATTAAAGAGATTTGAAGATGAAAAATTGTTACCAAAATGAACTTCGAACGCTTTCTGCACAGAGTTCATCAACGTGCAAAGTATAGGTTGTTGGGTTGCCGGAAGGAAAGCCGATCGAGCCGTGTTTAAAGAGCCACCCGATACTTTCTTGCACTTCGGTTGCGATGCCACCTATTCTGTGTGTCTGTTTAGTTTCGTTGTCAATTGGCAACTCAGCCTGTCTTCTACACCCCCCCCCCCCTAAATATAGTTTAAATTATTAAACGCAACATCCTTTTAGTCTGCCTTAAAAATATAGCTGTAAAGCAGGCAAGACTGTAGTAAGAAAATAGGCTGGTCATTTGCATTTGTATCGCTTAGGAGAAACTCGATAGGGATGTAAAAAACATTCAGTCGTTCCAAAAAACAGCACATTTTACAATTTGGTACTAAAAACGATCCAGTAAGGCTAATTTTACCGAACTCAAAATTTTTGAAAATTTTACAGCATTTATTTTCGAAAGCAAGGTTCCCTTACTCAAATAAACGGTTTGGTTCATGTAGTCCCATCCTTTATATATAAGCTGCGAGTATGCTAATGAGGGGTGTTTATGGATCTTATTACCTGCAAGTTCGTTCTGCTGCGTTATTCCCTTCAACTTGGTGCATTTTTCCTTTTTTATCTCGACTTTCCCTTTGACGAAGTTTTTCATTTTCCTTTTTATGGTGTTCTTCCTGCTTTCTCCGAATCTCCTCAGCTTTCATCTTAGAGACATCCTCGACGCTGAGTGGTGTTAAATGCTCCTCACTTCTCATCACTTCTTGTTCTTTGCGTATCACTTCAAATCGGTCCCCTTCCACGTGTAGCTTTTCTTTTATCTCAGGAGAGAGCGTTTCTTTATCTTCTGATTCCCTTCTTCGGAGCACCTCGCGATCCCGTACCTTAGAGCATCATTGTTTGGGAAAAATCTTTTAAACACCTATGACTTTATAAATTGATCATTAAGATAATTTATCAAAGAAGTCATTAACAATGGGCTAAACAGCATTTCTTGTTCGATGGTGCCACTGTGGATGGCGATTTGTACATGTGTAGACATGTTGCCATAAAAATATCCTATACATATCGTATTACCTTCAACAGGTCAATTTACAAACACGTAATCTCTTGAGAAGTTAACGCACAGTATGCGGAGTTATCTATATAGGAAAAGAAAGTAGAATAACAATAAAAGGCAAGAAATTGAGCTTGCAATGCAGATGTGATCTAAAAAAAGATTAGGAATTGTCTTATGTATATTTTTTAAATGTTTTTTATAAAGAGATGAAAAATTGTGGTGGTTGCGTTTGAGCATTTGCAACAGGTTTAGTTGTTATGTCGAGTTGAAAAAAAGCCTGCTTGTACTTATCATAACATACTCTAGCAAAACGAATAGATGGAATTCAACGCTCGAATGTATGATTTGCAACTCACATGCACGAATCATTCAAATGGGTGCACATATATATATCAAGCTAATACTGACAGTTGTAAAAAGATAACGAAATATGCCAAAAGACGAATACACCGAACAGCTTATGACAAAAAAGAAAATAGAGGTGTAACCAAAAACCATTTCAAGGCTGTAAAGGAAAAAAGTAGTTTGGTTGCTTTCAGAACTTCCGTATAATTTACATTAGCATTAGGTTTATTGTTGGATACTAGGAGCGGCGTATTAAAAACGAGGATAAAGTTCACTAGAATCAGAAGAATATGGAAATTTGGAGCAAAGAAATGTATATATGGTATGCATAACGGAACTGTGGAAAACAATGTGACATGTTGTGAGATTTTTAAGGAGTTGAGCGGTGCTATCAGACATAGTTTTAAGATACAGAGACAACATGAACTAAGAAGAACTAAATGGAAGATTAGCAATATAGGAATCGAAAATAAGCTGCTTCGTACATGTAATAAATAAAGTATATTATGAATAATAAGCACATAAAATACGTTATGAGCAGTAGGTATAAATAACAAGTATTCTAATAAAGAGTATTGCAATGATAGTTATAATGATCTTCTAGACATAATAATAGCAGTAATTAAAATACAAAGCATAAATAGAAAGATCAAAGGTAGCAACTAATATATCGAAAGATAATTAACCTCTGTTATAAAAATATTGCATAAACATATATATATATAAAGGTGAAATTTCAAGGAAAGAGCTTCTTTAGAGTGCATGTTTTAAAATATTAATAAAAATCTATTTATATGTTAAATTCAGAAGTACAGTACCATGTCGGTACGCATGTGGTCGGTTCCGTGGTATTCAAACTAAAACCATTTATATTTCATTGTTACGCTTGCCAGTAAAATGACTTGGCCCAACATACCTCCATTTCGAGTCGTTCTATCTCCCGATCAATTTCATTGACCTTTCGATTGATTTCTTGTAGGTCATCATCCATCTCTTGCTCTCGATGATCCGCAATACCTGTCAACTGATCTGATTCTTGCGGTGTTTTGTCAACTTCGGATCTCACTATACGCTTCACTGTGATAGCATTTTCCACGGTAGAACGCTTCTCTGTATTGGATTCTGTAGAAGAACAAAAACCATAATCATAAGTTACTGGATATGATATACAATATAACGCTAAATACCTTAACGAATACACTACTGGCATATCTCGTCATATTATCCAGTAGGATTATTTACAGATTTAGGTTTTAGAAGTGGGCAATATTTTTTCCTAAAAATAAAAATGAACTCCTTTTCAAATAACATATCTGTTTTATTTACCAATTATGAGGTTCGCCAGTATACCTTATATATGTACGTTCGTATTTTGTAGGTTTCCCTGTGAAATCTAGTAGGAGAAACTGCTACTTTTTCATTTTTGGCTAATTTTAACCGAACATACCATAAATTTATGACGTTTCCTTTTGGAGTCGCTGTGGTTATAATTGCCCTATCGAGAAGGTACTGCTCTTCGTTGGTACACCTGGTTTTCCCAGAGTATAGCTTTTACTAGCGTTCCGATTACATTGTCTGCTAACTCTTTACCTGTTTATAGTAAAAGCCACCGTAGTTTATTCTCTACAAATTAGAACAACTGAAAGAGCACTTGTACTTGTTCCCACAACACTTTATGCAGCAGGGTTTTCGAACCTGTTTGTCATTTCTGCTAACGCACTCTTCATTAAATTTCTCCATAGCTTATATAACGAGCTATTGCCATAAAACATTTCCCTTTAATCTGAAACCTTTTATACGGAACTTTATGCTTGGTAGGAGTCTGAGCCTCGATTATAGACATACTCGGTCCCATCTGAATCTAAATAAATGTCGGCATCACGTAAGATCACTACTATAATTGACCGCACCACCTCATTAACGTCTTCTTCACTATTCGCACCTCTGCGTATTATGTCTATAAAATCTAATTCCATAGATCTTTATAAGTCTTTTTTTCCTAAAGTTCGTTATTAGACCCATTTTGATCTCGGTCTCATCCGCTGACACTGTGAAGAATGGCCTCAGAAGTCGGCCTGTCTTACACTTTCGTGCTCACGGTGCTTTGCCCAGTGATATTCCTTTCATTGGAATTGTGTTTTACGCAAAAGGAGTTCCGTGCCTGAGGATATAGACTACGTATTGTTAACTCGAGACAGCAAGCAGGTTTCTTGCAGGGATACCTCCACCGAAAAAGGCAACTTGGTGCTTCAAGCAGAAAGCAGGTAGAACGACAAATTGCCTTATACAAATGCTTTTTTTTTGTAGAATCATTAAAGGGCCTAAAAAGAAATACCCAGTAGACTATCAAGGACGCTATAACTCACAATATGGTGGTTCGGGGACTAATATCCTAAAAGAAACCTCTCGCAGGAACCCTGAAAAGGCTGCGATAGGTTAATAAGACTGAATAGATGTGTGATAGATGCAGTATGCGAGCTGTATTCGGCTTTTCAGCCCAAGAGCTATATCCGTCCAGGATGCCGCAGCAAGTCAGCTGCTAGGTTAAAATTTACGCACCGGATCAGTGTGCTGATCCACGGCTCGACTTTTCTTGTAAATAAGGAATCGGTGATTCGTTTTTATCTTTCACGTGTGTGGATTTCAGCTGCAGAAAAAACAGCGACTTTTACTTCAATTTATTTATAATTTAACATGAAATACTTCCTACTCTAGATATTTTAGTTTTCTGTATCGGCTTTTATATAGTCAGTTTGATCACTGCATCATCTTTCTATCCTGTAAAGTTCGAACGCAGTAATGCACCATGGAGCTGGTAACCTCGACCTTTTGCAACATTCCGCATCTTATGTGCACCTCTTATCGTCCACCTTGTTTACTAACTTAAAACAGTTCATTAGAATTCAAGACTACTGAATTTCTCGCCGAGAAGCTCAGTCAGAACACGTTCGCTGAGCTGAAAATCTACCCCAACCATCACAACATTATTGCTGAATTTACGCATTTGATACCTTTCGATTACTTTCGTCAACTCTCGTTAGGAAATAGGTATTCGATGGATGATATGTTAGGATATGCCTTTTGGGTATAGTAAAAACAACTGTTAATTGTGTACCACTTAATTAGGACTGCGGTATGTAATTCCTTCTTATCCAGGTACCATATCAATGTAGATCGTACATTGTTCACAGCCAGATCTCTTAGATACAGCTTACATAATTCCTTAGTTGGACGCAGTCCATCTACAAACAGTATCTAGCAGCTGGACGCGTTCTTTCATCGTTTGAGATCCAAAATCTACGGCTCTGTGATCATGGCATCTTTCCAGTTTTATTGATCCTGCAGCCGATGATATCCTTCCAAGTATTTGGCATTGTTGGCTTTTCAGACAGCATATAATACAGATATCACAGCTCCCCCATGTATATTGGCTTCTTGTAGTTTCGGATCCGCCAGAAAGTTCGAGTTGGCACTGACTTTGTCGCTACCATTAAATTGCGGAGAAACTATGTCTTTGATCGGTAATATGCATACTGACTAACTTGCCACATGCAATCAATAGTAGGATACGGAAATATACACTGGTTTATGATTTTAAAATATGTATTAAGATATTATAGGTTAAGATCAAGGCTCCATTTTAAGTGCTCCAGAAATTATTAAAATTATTATCAGTATTTTATCATACCTATTTTTTAATTATATTAATTAATATTACTTAACATATGCCCTCTCTCAACATGATAAATTAATAGAGTAGGCTGTTACAAGTGAATCTCGCAGATTTTTAAAATATTTCAATGAGAATGATGCTTTTTTAATACCATAATGTAACAATAACTCTTACTTTTTACTTGTCGCAGCGTTCTAGCAGCTTATATACTTCCCATTCGCGTCCTTATATTTAATTTCTCTATCTATGGCTTCTCGAAGTAAATGGATAGTGGGATATATTTGTCCAGCAATTGCCCTTTCTAGTGCATGGAAAGCTCATGGAAAGTGCATGGATTCAGACAAGGGATATAAATGGATTGAAGCTAAGGCTGGGTATTCTTTTGCGCAATCCAGAAACTAATTGAGACTTAAGAATTAAGGATGGCCGTAGGTCTAACGTTGTCACCAAGTAACCAGACTGCAAGCTTGGCGGTCAGACAAATAGGCGCGTCAACGGTCCATAAGTCTGCTGAATGACTTGATCGCGATCTCCGTTCACTGTTTCAGTTCTGGTGAATATCTCTCAAATACTTCTGATGGCGACTATAAGTACTACTATCCCTTACGCCTAAACCTACTAGACACAGCCACCGAACCAAATTTTTCTCCAGGGCAACGTCATTCTCTCGCCTTAATCTTGTCCAGTTGGCAGTGAAGATTGAACCATGATTCGTCTACGCCCCAGGCAAGTTGTACATAGAATGTATTACACAATTTCCAACGAGCACTGAAGTCAACGGAAAACCCATTTTTTTAATCCAGTTTCTGCATTTATCGTATTTTTTCAGTATATGTGAAACATCCAAGGTTGTTTATTTTCAGTATTTTTTTTAGTGTAAAATATGTGAGGTTCTTTGTTGTGAACCCATTTCACTTAAAATAAACCCAACTGGTTTTCATTTGTTTTTAAAAGATTCTAGTATTTGCCAGCCATTTTTTTTTTCAAAAGTTGTTCAATTTTTAGGTCAGCCGGAATCGCTTGTAGCGGCCTTATATAATGCACTTGTACTAAATATTAGTCAGACCTCTGGCAACAAACGGTTAGTCGGTAGACTGGAGAGTATTCTACACTCACAACCGGCCGGGAAATTATATCAATATGTATTTTGAAGTCAACTTCATTAGACCAAGCGTAGAGAAGCAAGTCTTTCGAACGCTCTGTTTAAACCTGAACTCACGCAAGGCAAGGTGCGGCATGTTCTCCACGCACTGTGCAAGCTTAATTTAAGAAGCAGCTGTAGGGACTGCTAACGAGAGTGGTGTAAAAGGCCCAGCGTTCCAAGCCAAAGCGACCGAGGTAAAGGGGGTGTAGTTTTGCGGATCTCTTTCCATCGAGGAGTCGGATGTGAGTTGCCCTTCAAAGCTTAGGCACAGGGAGACTAGGCAGTTGGACTGACGGCAACTCAATTAGACATCAGTTTTTGAGAAGTGTTAAAGAGGGCGGTGTAAAAAGTGAGGCTCCCCAAACCGAGGCGATCGGCGCGAATGGGGTTTTATTTTAGGGTATCTGTCCCCGCCGAAAAACCGGATGCAGGCTGTTTTGCGTAGCTTAGACACAGAGGGACCTGGAAGTTGGACGGATCGCGGCTCTGAACAATACGGCTTCGAACCCATAGAGCAATTCGCACGTCATTGCGTTTAGGGCTTCGCTTACCGTTGTGTTCATCGTTAAGGCGACTAAGGAAGGCGTTAAGGAAGTACCACGGAAACGGAAGGGGCGGGCATCTCCAGCAACCGCGCAAACGGCCGTTCCATAACTGCGCGGGTCCTCTGCTCTACCAGTCCGTTCGCTTGCGGGTGGGCTGTAGCAGTTCTTACATGCCAAGTATTAAAACACGTCAAATGCTGTTAGACGCACTGACCCGTAAGTAGCTTGTGTTGTCTGTGAAGACGGCATCTATGGCCCCGTAACGATCTTGAAGAGCAGACAGTGCCTCTTGCACGATTCGGGTTGTCATTCCTCGACCTGGGAACAGGTGAATGAAACAAGTGCAGTAGTCTATACTCACAATAACGAACAAAGGAGCATGTTTCACTACATGCAGCAGTACCATAAAATTTACATCTACTTCAGCGAAAAGTCTGGGCAGGAAACGGGCATTTGGGGCAGCCTGCACCCGAGGTCACACGGCGGTGTGATTCGAAAGTACAACCGACAGGCACTTACTGCAGCGCCGGTATGCAGTGCAGCCCGTACTGCTTGATGTCGATTTCTCTGACGGGGTATCAGTTCCGACAAATTGGACAGTTAGGAAAGCCAACTGATGAAATCCGGCGCCTGTCTATCGCATGCGCGGGTAATTAGCAATGCTCGCGTTCTTGCCAGCGGCGGCACGTTGGGTTGTCAATTTGCACAATCGATGCGGCTAGACCTGTCAGCCAAAGGCTGATTTCCTTGGTTTATTTCCTAGCCGTCAAACCTATGCATAAGCCTCATCAGATTTGTTGCCCAGACAAAATTCTTGAAAATGACGGACTTCACTGTCTTCTTCATGTTAAAAAATCAATGTAGTCTTAATCTAGCTCCCATATATTGGAACCCGTTTGATCTTGATGAAGTTTCCTTTACACAATTAAAGAATCTGTTGGGGGGGGGGGGGGACTCATCAGGGAGAAACATTCCTTCAGTTTTGGTTCAGCAATATACCAGTTGTGTACCTCTGGCTCGATTTGCAACGGACCAAAGCCATGTGAATAAGGCCGCACTTGCCGTATGACGGTCTTAGCGTCACAGTTGGTTCGTTGCCAGACATGCAATTCTCTCCAGGCATCTTCTCAACCGGCTACCCACAGCATACACTGTAATGTAATAGAAGTATACTATATATATATATATATATATATAATCGGTGCTCACTTTTATTTTTCAAAGCAAATTGCGTAGCACTAAAGTAAGATACTTTTAAATGCTCTTTGACGTACGACTGCGACAATATTATTATTTACGATGGCTTCCTACATGTCGACAAAGAAGTCAGCAAACATTTTCAAAATGCTGACAAATGGCGTGATTTATTTGCAAACATCTGTATTTTGTGGCTGTATTTTCCGAACCCGTGCTTTAACTCTTCTCTAGGCATGTTCTATTGTATTGTGGTCTGCCAAATTAGCGGTCGGTGGCAGCACTTGAACTTCATTGGCAGTGAGTACCCTACAAACTCCCGAGCTCTGTGACGAGGCGCGTCATTGTACATGAAAACTTAGTCACCTTGCGGGAACCATTTTCGTACCTGAGGCTGTATCTCGATAACCTCAGTATACTCCTGCTGTTTTACTTCCCTATAAGAAATGTATCATCCCAGCACCTTTCTCAGAAATTAAAAACTGCATCATAACTTCTAAAAGATGTTTGATTTTTGCCATAGCGCAGTTTTCGGAAAATCATTCACCAACACGTTCGAAAGCACCACAAGCTTTTTCCCGAAATTCAAAAGGAGGTTTGTTTAAAAAACTGATTTTTTTTCAGTTCTCAAGCGCCCACCTATTTATTTAATTTACCCAACGAAGACGAACTCGTTTAATTTAAGCATCCAAGCAAGGTCTCTAGGCAGTTCTCTTGAACCCAGCCTCTAAATCGGCAGCGAAACGTAGTTTTTCACACAGTCCTTTTTTCTTTGGCTTTTTTTTTCGGAGTTTGTAAACTATCACACAGTTTTTACGCTCCGTAGTACGATTTTTGTTACTGATTTTATACAACAATACCGAGAAATTTTCCCTCAGTTTCTAACATTGGTTTTGCTAAAGCAATTCGCTGATCGCTGTTTTCGGCTTTCCAGTCAAACCTGTTCCTCTTCTCATTTTCACACATGACACATGTGAATATGCAAAATCACCAGAAAACACTTAAACCAGTTAAGTTCATTTAAGATTTACTTGACATGTTAGACGATGAGCTACCTGTAATAGCTTAGTAGGTAACGTTTTTGCCTACTCATTTTAGAAACACGTTGTGGTTCAGGTTCAAACAAAGCATAGACACGCGTCGTTTCATACTGAGACCCAGTCATTGGGTGGAATACCTAACGAATACCGGACGTGCAACTTGAAACAGAGAGATGATGAAATAGAACCTACCGCCTGTGCATATTATGAGGTATTACTGTAAAATATGAATGTTGAATTTACTGGATTCCGATTCTAGCAAGCTGAAATAATATGTTAATAAATCGATCACTGAAATACGACATGTTAGTGTTACGTATCACATTGGGAAATGTTTACCGATGTCTTTATTGATATGTGAGATGCTACTGTAAAGAACAATAATTCTGTTTTCATAAGCAGCAAACCATTTAAAAACATCTTGCTTTAGTGCTGCGCAATAAGGTTTAAAAGTTGAGACAACCTGAGTCTTTTTTCTTTAATTGGATACCGACTTATATTATTCATATAAGCAGTTTTAATCACCGTTATAAACGTCTTTCTCCTGATCCTTTTTCTCTTCCTGAATGTTGGGGGTACTTCCGCTGCCCTGTTGACATTGATCTTTTAATGTCGACTGTGTACCGGCTTTTTTATGAGAATCGCAAGCAGCATCCATTTGCTCTAAGATTTCTTTAGATCTTCTGGCCGGAAATAAATCATCTTCGCATGGCATCCATGGTGGAGTATCTAAACCAAATAAAATTGGATCCGGTATATAGGATGGCGCCACATACTGATCTGCCTGTAAAAGAAAGTAAAAAAAACTCAGTATTGAAAACCGTAATTGACCACACTGGAGATAATAATGCTGTCTAACTTTATAATTTTATCTCCACATACATCTTAAGCCTATAACCCATTCAAGTTATTCCTCACTCAACATTATGTAATACGAGCAGTATACTTTATAATGAACCCGTGAGTATAAAGCCACATCGATTTTTATGACGTCAGAATGATTTACTGATTGTCCAGAAATTGTGAACAGCGGATATTTCTATTAATGAAATATTAAATATCATGGAACAGCAATATTTTGATATGTAGGAGATGTACTCCAATTTATTGTTCATACGTCGACGTTAACGCACTAATATGGGAGCCTCTCTACAGCTATCTATTTGAAATCACGTTACCATATCTAATCTCGTTATAGCTTCTTTGAGAGAACCGACGGTAAGATATGCTACTCTAACGATCGTACCTTTTTAGGTACCAATGGAAATCACAGGGCTTAAATCCGGAGAATGTGGGAGTTGAAGCCATCACTGAATTTTATTTGTCTCGATTCATACTGCGATTAATGCGTGGCCATCTGGTTGTGCATTTTTGTCGAGTAATCACACTACGTGCTATCGATTGTCGCGTTCCGCATTTATGAGGAATTACATTTATAAGGTTTTTCAGAAGCTAGTTTACGCCCGGTTTCATTCAGCACTACCACCGATTTTTTTTTAATTTCATGCTTTTCTTTCGCCTAAATCTAATAAGTGGCACAGACCCACTTGTGTCTCCATTATGCCAACAGTATGCTTCAAATAGGTAATATTTATGCAAATTTTCTCTAGAACACACCATACGTGTTTTTACCTACCCTGAACTCAATCTGTGGAGAAATAATTTCTTGCTTTTGTCCTTCATCTTCGTTATTTTTGTGAAATTTCGTAACACGTGTTAAGGATGTCCCATACTGAACCGATAAGGACCGTGTTGTAAATACCCTTTTTTGCTCAAGGGCTTCTCTAAGGTCTGTCGTTGTCTCCTCACTTTTCGTTCTTAACATTATTGCATTAGAAAAAAACTATGCTTTACTTAAGGCCTCTTTGTCCCGACTTTGCTTTAACATTCTTATTTTCAATGCTTTCACTTTCCGGAAACACATACACAATCACTGAGCGTTCGCTCTCAGCGCTAAAAAACTTTTGCTTCTAACTTTGTAATTCTCTCATTATAATCCATGTGCTAGTAGTAGTAGACAGCCAAAGGCTTGACGAATGTATTGATTAAACTTTGTCTACTACAGCTTAAGAGTTATCCAAATTTCTAATTAACCAAATAATTCCAGGCACCTTAATAGACATGTTAAGTCTAAACTAAACTTATAATGATGTTGAACAGTTATAACTGGATCTTGTGTAGTCATTATTGGAGGTACAGACTATTTATCTTAAAAGGCCAGTACGAAACCACTAGAAAAAAAGGTTTAACAGTAAGTTAATTTTGTTGATCAGTAACAAACATAGAGCATAATATACAATCTGCTTTGCGCAATTCCATCGACGTTGAAGTATTTAAAAGATATGTAAACTATAAAATATACGAGATAGGACCGCAGTCTTAGTTACGAGCACCCACGCAGACCGGAACATTCAAATCTAGCGGGCAATACTGTAATGAAATTAGCTATGGACACTCTGCCGGGACGGAGCGACCTCACTTTAGATTATTTGCCAATTATTTAATTTATAATACTTAATACATTATATACCAGGATGAGACTATTGTTTGCATCCGACTACTTCGGAATCGAAATATCGTTAAATAAGTATAACAATTTTATGCCGATGGGACCGGCAGCGAAGCCTAAGGCCGATGCATCGTAGAAAGATTATATATGTACTACACTCTTAAAGCATCGCTGTTAAATACAATTTTGTGCACGAATTTTCCCATTTAAGGGACTTGTACCTGAAATAAGAAGGAGCTTTTGAACGAAAGCAAACAGCAGCTACACTTCTTTATATACGCATATTTACGCCAAATTAAAAATATTCAAAACTCGATTATCACCAAAACTGCAAATGTTTTAGTTTCCCCTGAGGAAGATCCTCAAATTAGCGCCTCGTTCTTTGTGATTCTATCGTGAAGAAACAGAGCACATCAGCACAGAATAGGAATATATTTGTACAGTTATGTTCATTTATACTCATTTAACGAATGGCCCTTCGTAGATATAAAAAAGCAAGTTAACAAATTTTTAGTAGATCTATTTTTATGAACTTATGCGAGGCAGCGCTAGATTTTGTAGCAATTGTATAGTTATATAAGTTGAGATCCTAGAAAATGTTTTTTATGATAGCTTTTAAATTTCACTTTTAAAACTTTCTCAATATGAAACGAACATTTTAGGAAACATACTTAAATTTGATACAGTTAAAAGTATCGTCTGATTAAAGCAAACACTACTTCTCTCTCAAATATTTACCTATTAATTTATATGGTACTGTCTGACAAAATATATAGCTGTCAAAGGTAAAAGTTAAAACGTTTGAACGTATATAAATCAGCTGTGTGTACCTTAAATATGTAAGGATAATCCTCGTATTTGAAATCAGGATCATTGAGATACTGCTGCCGAAGCATTTCCGCGAACCTACGCTGAGAAAGAAATTAAACAATATTAGTTTGTTTATTTATATTTGCCCTTTAAACGAACCTATTAGATTTTCTAGAGGCGTTTGACCTGAATATAGATAGCTTGTTGAAAGGACTACCTACTAGCTAGAAATGAAAAAGTAAGGCCGCAAACATTCAGAAACAATTATTGTTGAGAAATATCAATCGTGCAAGGTAAATTTGGATGTAACCGTTTGTGCCTCGTATCTAACAGCGATTCGCCTATGCGTACGGTTCACCTAAGCCTAGCAAAACAGCTTGAAATCCAAACAGTCCGTCTTTCATAGATATGAATTGAGTATTGTCACTTGAGTGTGTGAAGTGGCCCACTAAATATATCTTATAGACCATCAAACGCATAATCGAACCCTTATCAACAGCTTTTTGAGATGACGGCGTTGATGTTTACCAAGGTGCGTATATCTAATGTATTGATGCTGTCCAAAGCCCGTGGGACCGATTCTAAAGCTTCGTTTTACAGTATACAGATTTGCAAACAGTAACACCTCGTAGAACCTCTTGCTTGACGTAAATCTGTAAATCTTCAAAATTATGAACTGAGATTGGCAATCTCCTCGCCAGTATGTGGCCAATAGGTCCTGTTTCGGTGCTGTAAAGACCGCGCGTGTCTCACTCAAGCGCCCGAAAATCAATGGAATTTGAGCTGTTAGTGCTTTTTTGCCTAAGTACCTTCAAAGAAAATAGCGTTCTCGTGATTGAGTTGGAACCCAAAGTAGTAAGATTAGCGACTTGCCAATATTTTTCTAGTCAAATTAATAAATTCTAGCGCCGCGATTACAGGCAGACGAGCGGTTCGAGCCTAGCGCCAATTTTAACGCGAGGTGCGGTCGGACAAATACAAATCGCCATTTTATTGCTACTAGCATTATAGACTAGAATTGGGGCAATTTATTATTATTCTTAGGTAACCTGTTTTGTTTTACAATAGCGCGGATTAAAACCTCATAGGAAATGGTCATTATTTTAAATCGTTCAAGTGGTCTGCCAAACCAAACACGTGACGTGTTGAGGCTCATAAATAATTTCAAACGTCGTAGTTTCGAATGGCTACAAGGTGGTCGGAACTTGATATACGCACTGGTATCCCCTGCGAATGACAGTAATGGTTGCAGTTCGCGTGAGGCAAAAGGCCTCACTAACCAAAATTGGAAGCCTTCTCAACGAACCCTTTAACTTAATGAGCCGCTGGTCCGAACGTGTATTTAAGAGCTCGATACCATGTTTTGTAAGTACAGAAAATTACGGGGTTTTCAGAAAGATCGCTGATATTGTGGTCTACTAAGGGGACATGCGACACTGCCTCAAGCTCTATAATACTGAGGCATGTTTACGGAAATATTTTCTTTGATGACGTTTTGACGAAGCCAAGGCGGGATTCGTTATAACACGAGTTCACAGGGACTAAAATTCTTCGAAAGAGTGAAGTGAATATCAATGTAAAAGATGCATGCGTGGGAGCGCCTCAAGTTCTTATAAAGGATCTCGAGGAAAAGAAAGTATAACAATGATATAAAAATATTAAGCACGGATACTTTAGTGATCTAGCCTGATATCACAGTGAACAAATGTCACCGATGCGGATTAACAGGATATGTGTAGGAATAAACCCTACAGCTACAACTATGGATGGGCGGATCATCCTGCATATTCTACAAACTGTCTAAATTATAAAGAAATATCGAAAAAGAAACTTGCAGGCGAGTTCAGGTAAATGGTTTTCATAAACCACTTGCTAATTTTTTCAAAAAACATACGTGGGCTACAGTACCCGCTCTTTTTGAGAAGGTCATTAGAGACGATGACCTCGAAACACCATGAAAGCCTAAGACAAAATCGGACAGCGGAAAAGTCGCAGTAACTTCTTCCCCAACGGTAGTAGCGGAACAAAAAAATTCTAGGACAAGTGAACAATAATTAGGATGGTCTAGCTAAATTGTAACATGAGCAAAACCATTCACTAGTTACTCGAGGACCTAGCTCGGGAAAAGGGGCTGACTTCCTAATTATTAGTGAACTTAACGCTGACCTACGGAACAATCATATAACTTAGTATTTTGACGACACGTCGTGCATAAAAAATAGGGAAATACTTACCATGAGTAACAGCTCGGAAACCTATCGCGAGACTACTACTCTTTGTACTCAAGTCCTAATGAGACTATAGAAGACTAAAACAAAATTTTAGACGAGATAAATAATCCAGCCTGTACAGAATTGATAAATGAAGTAGGAAGTGTTTTAATGGTTAATACACCATTATACGCGGTATTAGAAGCATGGAGAATTTTTAGGATCGAAAAAAGAAATCAGTAGTTGCTAGAGTATATGGCTACACAACTCCGGCTACGCCCAACATGGGTCTTATATATAACCTTTCGAGATCACGCAGGGCTTTTCTTCGCAGATCTTACGATGTGAAAGGTTGACCGATGGACTGCCTTAGCGGTTGGAGGGTGCTGGAAGAAGGTCTAAGCGATGACAACACTATATATTCCGCAATCGATCTGCTTTAGTCTTGATATATTTGAAAACGGAAGAAGCAGTGGCAGTTAGAAATCGCTAAGTACAGGAACGCGGCATTACGCAAAACAAGAGGCACCTACACCAGCTCCTAGTATATGTTAGTAGTGCAAAAAGTTCAATTAATCCAAAATGAAAACTCGGCTACTGGTGGAGGGAGGGGATTGAATCACAGCGAAAAGAATGTAGCGGTATCAAAAGAAAGTTAAACAGAATAAGATGAGGAGAGACCCAAAGGTGTTACAGGCAGTTTTGAACGAATACACGCAAAAAAGAGAAAAGCTTAGGAGGCTGACTGAAACAAACAATTCGGCTTGTTGGAAATGAGCTTTTAGAGGAGATACAAGAAGATCCGTGAGATCAGCCGTACAGGCTTCCCACGGAAAAAGCAAACAGGAAGAGAGAACAGGAAGAAAGGATGATCAAATCCTTGTTTTTATTCCGTCTTTTCTTTAATAGAACCAAGTTTAGCGATCAGAATTCCGGCAGAAACATCCAATTGGTTATGCGAAAAAGGTGTTACAAGCAAATTAACGAGTTAAGCTAGGTAAGGGTTCTATAGTCCCAATCAGAGTCACGAGAACGTTTTTGAACAAGTTTTTGCACATGGTGGCTGTGGTGGTCACACATGTCTTTAGTTTATTCCTCAAGAGAAAAAAGGGAGATGGTGCTTATTTCCAACAAGAAATTGACCCTACAACCTATATCTTTTAGGGACACTTGCAAAGTGCGCTGAGGCTATCATTGAGCAAAGGTTCAGAACGTTGGTGAAAGAAAAAGGACTTTTGAGCGATAATCAGCTTAAGTATAGAGCACACAGATACGCATTTTCGATCATTGATAAAATCCTCTTAAGGGCCGGAAAAATGAAAGAATATACAATAGACTCAAGAGATCCTTTTTATTGGGTCTTCTAAACGTTAAAGATGCTTTGCCGAGGATAGATTGGAAGACAACGTGAAAATTATTTTTCCCTGTGACTGATGTAATCCTGCAAGAGTCCATACTGGGTCTACCACTGTAAATCCTGGTGTATGATGAAGTCCTGTGATAAAAATATCTCCTGCTGAAAGCAGAAATTTCTGTCTACGCAGATGATCAAGCTGTCACTTACGAATAAGAACACTGGAGTAAACGAGCCAATCAAACGCTCGCGGAAATATTGATATGGATGAAAGACTGTTGATTACGATTGGTCTCTACGAAATCGGAATCCATATTGCGCATTGACAGAAGGAAATATTTGCTACGTACATTGGTACCGGATAATGAGAGAATAAGCTTTGCTACAACGACAACATATTTAGAAATTCAGTTAGATCACCCGATGGAGGGAGTATACCGTAAAAGACAGGTTGTGGCAAGAGCGATCAGGGTATCTCTAGAAATATTCAGGATTTTGCTAAACTTTCACGGACCTAGAGAGAAAAAGAGGAAGCTTTTAACGACAATCGTGGAATCGACTGCGGTGTTTGGGCTCTCCTCTAAACCTTGCAAGAATTCATGATCAATACGACTAAGGAGTTACTATGAAAAGCCCGAATAATAGCGTTAAAGTTATCTTAGCGTATCGCACTATTGGCACGACCGCGGTCACTGCCTTAACCGGGAACACATTTTACGTTACTTAACCGCGCCGGTGCTAAGATAAAAGGAGACCTTGACTAGAGCGATTTTGGAGGAAAAAGATCGCCTGATCAAGATACGTTTAGGAAGCATGGGGGACGTCTTGGACGGTGCTTTGGGGTTACATTTAGAGAATACACGAGTAGGACACGCTTCTGTGTGAAGAATCAGCTCGTCTGGTTAAGTGGGAGATCTAACCGAAGTAACCCCAGCATGGTAACCAAGCCACTCCTTTCTATCAGCCTGTTAAATGAAGTAGCTTTAAAGAGGAATGGAGAACTAAAGAACAAAGATACAGGCAGAGACAAGTCCAATCATCGGAGTTGAGCCGCAGACAGCCTACTTAAGTTAATTAATTAAAAAGCATGCGATCAGCAGGCTGTATGGAAGGAAATATGAATTTGAAAACACGGTGCCGAATTCGGTCAACGACAGTGTTTCCGAAAGGATATTCCGTTTTAATTCTAGAGACATAGAGTAGCGGCCTTGGAAAACTTTTTTGCAACCTAAAATTGTTTTTTCCTGTTTGTACCCACAGGTGTGTGTCAATCTTCACGGGAAAACGTACTTTTGCAGCCGCAAAGAAAATTCCTTCAAGATTCAGGGAAATCGCGTTAGCTCCCATTGTTGGTTTCGCATGTACCGAGAACAACCCCATCGCCTTTAACTTCCAAGGTCATATAAAAATTTTTACTGGATTTGTTATCGATATATGCCGCTCGTAGTATTTCGGATATGCCTACAAGTCGGGCGATATGCGTGGTAGGGAAGCTAATTACTGCCAACTGCAATATCTTAATTCTAAACAAGACAGACTCCATTCAAACCGGTTTAAACAACTAATTTTCTGTACTCTCGCGTTCATTAAAGTTGCCAGCTCCGCTAGCACTATACATTTAAAAAAACTAGCATTTATCAGATTTAATTCTCCTAAGAGATAAGCCACAAGCCAAGAACTCTTTCCAAAAGTAAATAAAGAATATCCTTGTTAAGGCAAAACCTACGCTCAAGGTTATCACCATTGTGAAATCATCATTTTTTGCTTATAAAGTGAATATCATAATTTCTGTTGTATGTTTCTTTATACATTTGTTATTATGTGAGCAAATATAACAAGAGGTGTCACTAACCCTGAGTTGTGATAGCCTCTCTGTCCTGTGGTAAAGAAGATTGGTCCTCTGTTCAATATCTTCCAATTTACGCAGTAGTCGTTCATTCCTCACAGCATTACGTTCCTCTTCCATTAAAAGCGTTCTCCAGTAGTCATATAAGGTTTGCTGAGACCTGCTTGTCGCAGGGTATTTAGCAGTGCCTTGCGCAGAACTGGACACCGCTTGATCACTTAGCGGCATCTGAGAATATACCAAGTGTTCAGGAAATTACACTTCCATATACAATAATTATAAAAAAGCAAGGAAGCTGTATTTTATCCAAATCAAAAGGAGTGTTACCTCTCTATGTCTCTACCGAGAGCCTTCACATTTTTGTCCGATATGCTTCTATTTTGGTTTCCACGTATACGCACAGTTTATATTTTAATGCGTAGTTGCTAAAACAAATCCCAAAGCAAAGAAATTCAACACCCAGTTTTCATGAAATACACGGGCGTGTGCTTAGTTCTTTGATATATGGGTAGCATATTTGTGATGCCTGTAGCAAATCGGGTCAATTTGCATGCATATTTTGGGTTGTCGAAGAAGTATCAATTATTTTTTTTTAGCTAGATGGCTCTAGAGTCACATATCTCAGGTAATATAAATAATATCGGTTTGGCGTTGGTATCATTTAAAATCTGTATTTGGCAATAGTAGATGCACTAAATTGTTGGAATGTTTTTATTAATATATGAGACAGAATGTTTTGAAAATTAATGAAATTTCTGGAAAAATTCATAATATTTTTCAGTTTTATTGCAATAAGGGCACAAATGGTGTCCAGCCCCTTAAACAGATTATTCTATTTATAATCAGGATGTGTTAACAGAAGGCACGGTCCAAAGACATTTTGCTCAATTTTGTTCAGTAAAGTTCGATACTTCTAGTAAGAATCGACCAGTTACAGAAGAAGTTGAAGAAAACCAAGACAATAGTAATTCTGACATAGCAAAAAAAACTAAGTATTCACCATCAAACAGTTTTAAATGATTTGAAGAAAGCTAACTATAAAAAAATCTCGATGACTGGATACCACAAAACTAACGCAATAGAATTTATTTGATCGTATTTCTCTCTGTGAAGTTCCACAGGAACACAATAAAGTCGAGCCGTTTCAGAAGAAATTGATTATGGATGATGAAAAGTAGATCATTTTACGATAATTATGTGTAAAGAAAATTAAAACGGTATGTTCTGCGGTCTGTAACAAAGCCCAAACTGACACTAAAGAAGATGACGTGCTTGGCAGGATTGGAAACAGTACGTACACTATGAGATCCTGTCCTTTAGTAAAATGACTGATTTGGATTTTTATTGTCAATAACTGATAAGATGAGAAAAATCAACCAAAACTAGCGAATAAAAAAGGCGTCGTCTTATACCATGAAGATGCCAAACCATACACATTTTTAGCTACCCAGTAAAAATTGCAAGAACCTGGGTGAAAAATTTTGATGCATCCGCCGTTTAGCCGGGATCCTGCACCGTCAAACTATCATTTATTTCAGTTTTTGCAGAACTACCCTACTGATTTTAACTTAGTTTCAACAATTTTTTCCCGAAAATCCCATAAATTTTACAGTGATGGGATTTTAACGCTCTGTCGATAAATATGGCGCACATTCAGTTTAGTAGTATTATTTTGGAACTTAAAACATGTTTTCTTCAATTTTTCAAAATTTCTTCAAAAACGGTCGATACCTTATCGATCAGCCAATATATAAATATATATACATATATATTTTTACGTTTCGCCTGACTTTGTTCAATATAACAAGCATATTTAACGTATAGGTTCAAAAATAATAAGAAGTGCGATAATAAAAATAATAGGAAATAGGTGCGAGCCACTACATAGCAAATATCTTAGCCAATTTTTTGAATATACCACCTTGGAAAAGCCTATCGATTTTGCTGTCGGTAGTAACAGGTCCACAGTAGTACTTGGAAGTTGGCACTTAAGGTGACTGTACTTAAATCGAAACTAAATGAGAGACCGATAAACGTGTTTGAATGGAGGCTCCGTTTGTACTGGCTGTACATTGAAACCTACTGTTAGTGATTCAAGCTCTAAATTGCTGCTGGGAGGTTAGCAACACACAAAGTGAGGAAAGCCGCAAACATTAGAGGCACTGATGCGAGCATAGAAGTGATGGCACCAAACTGAGAAACCATTAATTGGTGTGAACAAAAAGGCGCTGAAGCTCAAGAAAACAAGTTCTAGCTGGTTGTGTAGAAGGCCAAAACATACAATGAAGTATACAATGAAGGGCAAGTAGCATGATAAAAGCTCAATGCAGAAACTAAAGAAAAAAAAGAAACAGCCTTGGTAGGACCAAACAAAGTTGCTTGATAGATAGGAACAGATATTGAAAAAAAAACACCACAGAAGCCAATAAGGAAAAATAGCAGTTAGACGAAAGCGAACATTCGAAAATCAAGAAAACACAAATACTGCACTTACGACTAGACGAGCAGTGGCAGCCGACGAATAACATACGAGATTAAAGGCAAGATTATTTTTCTGAGCTCAGGCAGATTTGGGCCTGACTACGGCAAAGTTAACCGCGTGCTTGATAAACTAGATTGACACGACGGACACGAACATGTTTATTCTTATGTTGGGGCGTTCAGAAAGGTGCGCAAAGCTATAAGTACTAATTTAAGTTTGAAAGTAATCTTTTTTGCAATACATTTGTTTTGTAGACATATGTTTAAATAATAACGTACATTTTTAAAAAGGAAAAGTGAAACAGTCCACAAAAATGGCCTCAGTTAGCGCCAAACTTAATGGCCGGTTCCACGTATCCTGGAATTGAGTTTTCGCAAATACTCTCTTTCTTATCTTATAATAAACTGTCACTATTTGCATCGCTATTTATAAAACAAAAAAAAAGCTTTAGACGTTACTTCTAAAACCATCAAATTTTAGTTAATCTTTCATAGCGTTCCACAATTATTTTGACCTTCATATATAAAGATATATATTTAAAAAGACAAGGAGAAAATTGCTAAAGGATTTGGTGGTTTTCTATCGCCCGTGGTTACTATAGCACCCGAGTATTAAGCTCCAAGAGAAAGGAATGGGGCTTCTTTAGTTGACGGAGACGGATAGCACGAGTGAGAGAAATGTGGTAGAATTACAGTGCATTCTTTATTAAAATGCTATATCCGAAACAGTAAGCAGTCTGAAAAGAGCCATAAAGCGTAGGCTGTAATACTTAAAAACATAAGGGTGTTAAGTTTCCAACACAGAGCGGTTTACAGTCAAGGGCGGATTGTGCTTGCACATGTTTTTTACGATAATAACTGATAATTCGACGGCCGAAAAGTAATAATAAATGACAGATGTTTTCACTGTATGTTGGAAAGCTTTGAGTTGTTCGCGTTAGATCTTCCAAATATGGATAATGCCGTTTAGTTCCAGGAAAATGAAGGCTAGCCACACATTTCCTTCTTCAACGATTGTGTTGACCACAAAAGGTAGAAGAGTTTGGTATGCCAATAAGATCACACCCAGCTCAATCTTTATTCGGTTTGTTGTTCGTTCGTAAAGGGTTCATAAAGGATTATACTACATTCTGTGGTCTTCGAATTTTCGCCTACTTAGAACAATTTACAAAGAATGTGCAAGGTGCTTCTTATTCGATGCTTTGAAGCATTTTTTTTACCTTTATTTGGTATTTGAAACGACTTAGAGCCAAAGTACCCAGAAAATATTAGCGCACGAACTGCAAATTACCAGATTCAAAGTGACTACCTGGCATCACTTATAAGACTTGAGCTTATCATTAAGGAAACCTGCCACATATGCAACAGAAGGAGAATAACAGTATCGCCTTAGATAGATCATAACTGAGAGGGCAACAACTCGACAACACGATAATTCAAATCAAGCAGAATCAATGTTAATAGAACCCATGAATTAACATCAAAGAAACGCGTATGCTTTTAAACAGAGTCACACAACATATTCAGACTCTGTGCTTTAATCATACAGCGTGGATTTTACGTAGTATTAAATGCCATATATTCCGTATTCTACTAATCGCATATATGGGCGATACGACACATTGCCGCTGCAGCGGCAAACCCAGTGGAACACAAGAAAACGCAGTATTAAAATCCCGAAGAACAGTTCACTAGAACATCGTCGGGCCAGATAACGATTGTTCGACAGATCACAGGCGAGAGTAAGGAATGCCATTGTCATTACAAGTCAGAGATGCAAGAAACTTCATGTTTATTCGAATAATTTGATTTGGAAATATGCGCAATCATCGACAATGTTAAACAAAAAGGACGAATAATGCGCAACATGTAGAAATGACACCAATGGCGTTGTCTATCTATCAACTAATAGTTGAGCGACGCAATCAGTGCTCCGAGCAATATCATACGATTTTATTGATGCCTTTGTGTCCCCAAGTTTATAGTACCTAGCTTGCCAACGGTACCGACATCATAATTTTTCTGTGCATTCTGTCAGTGCATAGTTTGATAGGTACAACTTGGTCTGGGATGCTTTAGATATATGTAGAAGCTCGCGGTCAAGTTTTGATTTTGCTTGAGTTATCGAAGTAGATACGGCTAGTAAGTTAAAACAGATTTAAAAACTATTAAAGCTGATCGTATACTATAATAGATCAAATTACGTTACCTAAAGGCAACCAACACGTAAGATTGACCCACCAATAAAAAACCTTTATGTCCCAAACCCAGTTCGTAACTTTCGTTGAACTGAAGTTTGAAAACCCTTGCCCATATTCGTTGACACGCGTGTGTTGCCCAAAAACTATATATGTAGGTAAAACAGTTGACGTATGAGATTCATTTTATTTGCTGAGTAGGTAAAAAGTATTTTTACGGCGCTAAGTTACTATAATAGCTTAGAAAGATATAGAAAGCTTGAATTTCAATTCAAGGCTACTAGGCCGCTCGGATTTGACCTACGAAAGGTGAAATACTACCATGCTATCTAAAAACTGCTATCTTAGATCAGATACGTACTGTTATCATGTTGTCCCAACCCTACAAACGAAATATTATGTGAACATATACTACTATAGAGTATTATGTGATAATATATACAAATATAATATTTGATAGATTGGTATGAACAACTCGAAATCGTCGTCAACAGTACACCGGAAAATCCAGCTAGACCTGTTCTTTTGGACCGAACGCTTGAGCAGAAGGCCACCACCTACTTAAAGCACCGAGGACCCCAAAGATGACCCCATTCACGTCGGATCCGCATATTTTACCAGGATTCTTTTCGACCACCTAATATTGTGACAGACTAGAGGTCAATGCACCACACATATTTGTAATCACTAATGAAACGCATTATAGTAAATACTCTACTTTCCGGGATTAAAATTTTTTCATACCGAACGAAGAATATGATATTCGTTTTATTATTAAACTGGTTTCCATCAAGATATTCATGCTTACAATAACAAAATATTATCTTTTTGAATAAAAATGGCAGACAACTACTTTATCTTACAATTATTTATTTAACAATAGATGACATTTTTGTGAGCTGAATGCCAAACTTTTGCTAAAAAAAATATTTTTATTAACAACCGTTTTTCCTTAAGCTTCTTTTATCACTGAAGTAAAATTACTGCAAGTAGTTTGTCTTTGTCCTCACCAGCAGCAGACTCTGTGTCAGATGTAACTGATGTATTATGCTGCTAGCCTTCGGCGAATTTATGATCACTTGTGAAGGCAGAAAAAAACAATATATTTTTTATGGAGGACTTCAAATAATCGTAATTTAAAAATTTTAAACCAACTACTAAACTTGAACTGACACTTGATCTGTCTACAACCACATAAAGTCTTACTGCTCCTGTCCCATTCGTAGCACATATAAATTATATAATAAACGGTAAGAGAGAATTCATTCTAACAATTAATAAGTTAAGCTTGGCTTAGATATACTATTTCATATTTTCATATTTAGTTCTATATTTTTAAATGACACCATGAAAGTCCAACCGATTATTCATATCAACTATACTGATCATCATAGGTGAATATAGAAAAAATGGAAAGCAGAAGTGGGTGATACAATTTTTGAACAACTAGTTGAGTTGCAGCCTCAAGCTCAGATTAACATTTGAGACTGCTCGAGAAAAATGTGTGAGCGGTTAGTAGTAAATTCATACCGCGTTAGCCTCTACATGACTCCACCCAAAATAACAACTCGCGTTTGGACTGTAAGCAACGAAGTCATACCGTTGAAAAACTTGCGCTCACCAGAAAGGTTTTAGGTGCTGTTTTTCGTTATTGCGAGCCTTACTATGCTTGTCGAATGTTTTACCTAAAGTACATATGGCTGCCTCTGTTGGGCAATATATTTTGATTTCTTTGTCTATCTTAAACAATATGGTCTTTTTAAAACGCTATTTGTAATTAAATTTTTCAATGAATATACCAAAACAAAATCGTCGCCAAACACATACGCATGAACCGACAAAGTCAAAGACTCACAAAAATCATCTTAACAACTTTTGCGCTAAATTATTTTTTTTTAAAAGAGCTCGCAAAAAAACGACATTGAAAAGTAAGATGCTGAAATACAGAAGCCATGCCAAATACAAACTTATAAATTTGAGAAATATCCAATATAATTCGAACTTTTGGATGCAGGGACAGGGTACCCGAATGGAATAACCCTGATAGTCGTTCAAATTAAACCACACAGAAAACAACAAATACCTATTCGTTTGAGGTCTGGATGCAAGCTTCTTTGTAAAAAAGTTGTTCGATAATCAATATAAGCAGGTAAATATGCATATTAACGATCTGCAGCAATTACGCAATATACATGTAACAATTATTCCTGTTTTGTCTCAAAAAAAGCAAACGTTATTATTTGCCTCATTTCGTTTTAAGAATTAAACCTAAAACAGCAAGATAATCCACTAAAATGTGTAATAAGGCAAAGTGCCATTTATTATATAAATAATGAATAAAACGAAATTTGAACTAGAAATTTTAAAAAATGTTACACATTTCCCACGTTTATTAAAACATACAGACTTTTTAAAACCACACGAAATACAGGAATATGATTGGGTAATTCATAACATAAAAATGACAAATTCTGACTGAGACAAATGAATTTCTTCTGCGCACCTTTGTATTACTATACATTCATAATTTATTACACAATAAAGTAATTACTAGATCGGAAAAAGCAAAAAAAAATCTGCTTTGTCTACTACGTTTATCATAAGGTAAACACCGCAATAGTTGCTGATGAGAGATGTGTGTACGCATTTTCGACCATTGAACACATTTGATACGTTTTTAATAGTTTTACTTGACTTAAAAAACGTTCTTTCTAATAAATGTTTTGACAGTCCTTTGTATTCTATTGTATCAAGCTGTGCCAAATTTAATAGGCGTTAGTCACTTTCGTAGTACATTTAATCAGAATATATCCTTGTTAAATCTAGTACTTTATTGATACTCTGTAATAATAATAATAATTATATTAATAATAAAAATTATAATGAAATATATTTGACCTTTTTATTCAATTGATGTATTATGTTAACACATAAATAGTTTTGGCCGTCAAATGTCTTAGTTGTGAAACAACAATAAACAAAATCTCCGAGTTTTACTCGCCTCTTGATGCTGGAAACTTGTGAAATCCTCTGCAAGGTCGAAACAGCCCTTACATTCGAATAATAGAAACTTCGGCAATAGAAACAGAACCGTTTCACAGTATTATAAGCTCACCTTTATTGTACTGTAGTAGGGATTTACGTGCCCCTGTGCTATAATGAGTGGTGATAGAGCGCTATTTAGAACGCTTCACTTCATGTAGCCGCGGACAATAATGCACGTAACGTGGTCCAAAAAGGCAAAATTATCAAAGATTTTCTGGTGATCTCAGAACAATGTGTGCGGCCGGTCGTGGTCGAATTTGACTGAACAGACAAATGCAGGACAACGGTATTGAATCAACTGTCATTCCATAGTGAATAGTGAACCAGTACAAGAATGGGTGTCCTGCATTCATCTCGGTACAGTTCTTTCAGGGAGGGTAAAAGCGTCGCCATGACAACGAAACACTACAGTAATAAATCCTTGCGGGCAACGGGCACAGATAGTAGGTGATGGCCGGTAAACAAGTTTATTATAATGTGTTACGGAAGCATATAATATGTTTTGCATATTACGTGCAGAGTTATCTCTTAAACTGCTGGATAGTTTCAATATATCTTTGAGTCAGTGCTTTATTTTAGAATACTATTCACCCTTCTAAATAATACCGTAATTCAATAATATGTATTTCAGAATGACTCCACAATTATTCCGTGTAACATGCCCATAGCAGAAGTTCACATGATTGGTTTGTGAAGTATGTTCGCAATTTAAACCCCTTTGTCCATGCGGCTACATCTCTCTGAACAAGAATCGCTAGATTTCTTCTTGTTTCCTGACCAAAAATAGAAATTTCATTACACTCATTATCGGGTGCGCATTATATACATCATAGATATTCTAGTCATTCGTTTTTTATTTGTATGTAATCTATCTATATGTCTATCTACTGATAGTATTGGAGTAGCAGGCTGTGTCCGATTTAAATCGACCCTTTAATGTTAACAGATTAGACTGACTTTTTTATGACATAGTTCTTTCTTGGGAAGAGAAACGTAGAAAATGAAACCTATCTGTCAAATATTTTTACTCGTACAGGGAAAAATTTGTTTCTGCGTCAAGCGTAGTGCTGATTTATTTGATCGTGAACCAACGATAGTAACTTCTTATTTTTTTCGATTGAAAACAAAACAGGACCATTCAGAAACATCACGACGTTCATTAGCATTGCTCACGCTAATATATCATTAAACGTATAACTTCGTCTTAATTTATCCGTTCGACACGTATTTTGCTTCCAAAAAGACTGGTTGAGAAATTTGTTGAGAGGTAAACACTGTGTCCGTATACTCAAATTGTGGTGTCTTTAAAACTCTGTGAACATTTTTCCTTTTATTTCGTCCACGCTGCTTCGATTGATTGAGAAATATCATTGTCGCTAACAATTAAAAGCGTGTCGCGACGTTCGAAGCGTCTTCTACTTGCGTCACAAGACCAAGGCCCCGCTGGTCGAAAGCCGCTGCTCTAAGGAACCAAGTCGCAAGAAAGCACAATGAAAATAATAGTGAACAACTTAGCCTCTGCCAATGGTCCCTCCAAGCAATTTCCGAGCCCTTGGCCACAACTGCGATAGTCGCTGTCTGGATCATACCGCCCTGTATGCCTATACCTCAGAATCCGATCTTCAATAGAAGCCAAATATTGACTTGGATTTATATATTCAAAAATAGAGCACGAAATGGACAACCAAATCTTACCCAAAGAATTATTAACACTTCTATGATCCTCTCCGGTTTCTATTCAATGGCTCATTTAACGAAGCGGGCATCAAATTATGTTTCTGTTGGCAAGTATTCGCGTAATAAACCAGGTGTCACGTCATCTTAATGCTGTATTGTTGAAAGACGAAAACCCACGTTTTTGTTGCATAGAAGGTAAAATAAAATTAAATAATATCAATCTGCCCACAAAGCTCGTCGCGCCCTACAGAACCAACATACCTGCTGGCAGTGCATTCATCTGATTGGCTATTATGAATTGTTCTAAATTCCGCCCATCCTCAAATATCTAGAGGTTTGTGCTCCTACATTCATGACCTCATCACAACAAAGAAAAGCATTTGAGAAGCTCGCATCATTGTCAATCCGAAACGATAGCTACTAGGCTCATACAGTCACACATGTAGTGAACCGACGGCCGGTGAGGTAGAAATTTTTATCCAAGGCGGTCGCGGCCTCTCCGTAAAACCTCGGCACCTCGGAGACATCCCGATGATTAAGCACAATGCAAATGCCAGGTCATTTTAAAATGACACCGATTCTCTGGCGATCCTCAGTAGATTCTTCTGTTCCTGTGACTATGGCACATTCAGCGACGGACAAGCAACAAGAAACTGACCGCCCTCTGCTATAATGTCTACCATTTTCACTGTCTACATCAATCAAGCCACCTGTACCGACAGTACCTTATCGACGTGGCAGTAAAGTTGGAATACATCATATTCAGTGTAATCAATATTTTCGCCAAGCAACAATATATAGGGTCTTAATATAGCAAACGACAATGTCCTGACCTAGTCTTTGTGGAAAAGCAATGCATCCTTTCCTCGACGTTTAGAAGTAGCTTACGATAGGTGGCAAGACTTACACAAATGCAATAACGTATATCAGCACTTTCAGCAATGTTTCATCGCACCAAATTATCAAGTGGCGCGCCCGGCAGCCAGGTATTGTTCGGCACTTTGATGGTTAGTGGTCTGAAGGTTGGCCAAACTTGATTAAGAGTTCCTTTTCATATGTTATCACATGCAAAAACATGGAAATGCCATCGTATATCTACCATCCTAAAATACCAAAAAAGAAACCTTTCAAATATCCAGTAAAAACGTACGACAAATTTGTGCAGGCGGTGCTGAAGCACATGATATGCGTTCTGTACCATACAGTTAAATTTTTATGCATGATCTTGAACGTCGAAACATGCTCTTCTTGCAGGTCAATATTACGAAGTACACACTGAAGGGTAGCGACAAGGCTATCTTTAAAACACATCGGGCCCTGTTAAGCTGTCTCACAAGTATTGGATTCCCCACTTCTCGAACGGAACTTGTTGAGCGACTTCACTGGCACTTACCTCAGAGGTGCTAAGTATTTTTCAATAAGGCCACAGCGCTCTAATACATTTGAATTTTCTGGGAAGGACTTCTTCTCGACGATGAATATCGGACCAAACAAACTGATGCCACACATAATTCGAAATCTATCTGTGGTACTCTTGATGACGGAGGAAGTACCCAATCCGTTTCATCTGTGAATCACGCAGAAGAAATACCAATACAATAGCTAAAGATTTCCTATATAGTGCACACGTGTGGATACGCGACATATCCCGAGCGCTGACGCCTACAACAGCCAAGTGCTGACGTACCTATAGAGCGAGTTGGCGAAGTGCAACAAAACTTTACGTAACTTCAATTTTCTTTTCCCACAACAACAACACCCAGGAATGAACTTAAACGCTGATATTGCCATACTATTCCAATTTGACCTTGCTGAAATGCACGAAATCATACATGAGTAACTTCTAAATGACGCGTAGAGCGTGATCTACAGTAATGTCTGCACATACTTAAAGGCAAACTTAGGCAAAATTATTTTCGATAACAAGCCTAGGGATTATGACATAACCTTGTTAATTTAGCCTTTAGGAGGTGCTCGCTACCGGGAAGGAGCTGTTTGCAGTCACTTTTCGACGGTTGCATTGCACACTCCCGCTTCAAGATTACCAGACAGATTAGCAAAGACATGCTATGCAGTACTCATTAGAGCTCGAAATTATCTTTGCCTAACAGCATTTATTATGATTCAACGCAAAGTCTTGGGGACCATTAACCAATCATTCCGCGGCATACACAACACTGGCATTCGGCGAAGTTTTGACAGTGTGCAGTGGTGATGTTCACCAGCTGCTACCTGTTGTAAGGAGCCACACATATATCAATATTAAAGATAAGTATAAGTAGTAAGAATTCTCATCTATGGAGAAATTTCACGGTACACAATTCGTACCGACTGTTGCCAGATCCTTTTAGACATTAGTAGGAACAGGCGTTAAAAAACTGCCAATAATATGATTATTCTGCACATAATACTATACAGCGCGAATATAGTGGATAAGAATCGACGAAATATGCACACTTGTTTCCCTCGAGACTTTCTATCAAAGTCTAAAGTGCGAAAAGTATCTATGATACTTTTCCCATAACATGCATAAATGTATACAGTTATCGAATGCTCCGAGACGTTAAAAATTCTTGCATCGTCATTTTATCGGGGAATGCGGTGATATGCTGCACGTTTCATCAGGTGACGTCAACATGGCACACTTTACAATCCAGTTCATCGACAGTTTTCAACATAAAAAGGCGCCCCGATATCTTTCCTGAAAAACATTGATTCTGCGAAACTATTCACCGGCACCAGGAAAGTCGTGCGCGATCTGTACTCGCATCTAATTGCCGCTGAAATTATAATGAACTGATTCATACACCACGTTGTGCTGCTACTCTCACTTTTTCCGAAGACGCTGATGTACTATTTAGCTTCGGTCTATTTCCAATACAACTGCTTTGCAGTGACAACCCACAAAAAATAAGGCCAAACCATAGATAAAGTACTTATGTTGAAGACTAACTACGGCTAATTCTACGTTACTATCAGACGTCTCTGTGTGCCCGTAAATGTCAGGGTGCCTCTCAAACGCAATACTACAACAAACATTGCGATTGGCAGTATTTTACACTGAACGCTTCTATATATGTAGTTTGACAACCGCTCTTGTAATACTGCGACAACACACAGCCAATATCTCTACATATGTTGACAACTTTGCGAATAGCATGCGGGGAATTAGCAACACTGCAACTACTTGCAGACTTGTATCTGTTCATTAAAAAACGTCTATTGGTAATTTCTGGCTAGCATGTTGTTGAGCCGCTTTCACCATTTTTGGAATTTGACTTGCAGGACAGCTGCCGTGCGTTACCGCGTTTTTCTTCCTTAGGTACCTTAGTCACTGCGTCGTGCTTCCAGCAGATGACCATTTTCGGGCAAACGTAAAGGTTCATTGCACGAAAAATTTCTTTAATGTTGCCACATACATTGTTTCTTACTTCAAGGACCGGAGCGAAGCGTGCCAGATGCTCAACGGCCGGCTTCAAGCTAGCTGTACGTTACGTGCAAAACTATGTTTACACTATATTGTAAAAGGAACCATAAGTTCAATCTTAATCAAAGCCGTTATTCTGTCTTTCGTTATCT